AAACATGATTAATGGTTAATTAGGATTAATGAAGTACTGTGTAATGTTTTAAAAATTATAATATGTCTCCAAAGAACCGAAATTCTTGCAAACAAACCCAAACACCTTGTTCTTCCTCCCGCCACATTAACGGATCCCTCCCCTGGTTGTAAGCTTCGTCTACATCTTCTTCTTTTTCTTCCTTAACATCTTTTTCTTCCTTCATCCTACACATCTTTTTCTTCCCCATTCTCTTTAACCACTTCCCCATCCTCCAAAATTATCCGGCACACTTGCAACATCAGCACCACAACCTAAGTATCAACACCCTCATGCCTAACAACACCACCTGATCCAATTCAAGACAATCCAATTATTCAAGAAAATCAAATAAGACAACATCACATAAACTACAAAATTCTTAAGTCCAACTTCCATAGCTTTTGATGACAGCGTCAACAATGACTTGGATTGGGTTCTGGTCACTCAAAAGGGATCCATATGCCCATGGAAGCACTCAATAGCTCGGCGCTCCTGATAGTTGTTCATTGTTTCATCATCCAAGTCGTCCATTAGGGTGTTGGTCATGTCGAACTCAATAAATTTCAGTGCATATCCCCAAAATCAGCACTACAATAACAAGAAGACATTAGCATTAGAATCAGCTTATAAAACAATTGTATTATGTAAGTTTTATACAAAATTTACCTTGAGTCATTTGTTGGGACGGGAAGGAGCTTGAATGGCCACTTTCCCGTTAATACTTGATTACCGAAGTGTTGAAACATCCCGTTGTAGCGCAACAGCCGCGGGAACAACACAGACATTGGCTCTAACTCGATCTCCAACAGCCTCTCTCTACAAATAGTTGGGTTGCAGTCAAAGATCTTTACCAAGCCCTCCTTTAGAAGCACGCCGATAGTTATCTAATGCATATCCTTGATGTTGATGATGCAGTAGACTCTTTTAACCTTTCCCCCTGTACATACTGCATGATCCTATCATCAAACAAAAAATCATTAGCGACGCCGTCGAAGTCATCTATGCCCAATCTTTTTCGCTTGCCTCTTCTTGTTGCATCTCTACCAATGACATTTTTCATTAAAGTGTCATATGTCGTTACTAGCGTTTGGCTAAAGGCCACATCAATGATGGCACAATTGGGATACAATATATCACCATTACTGCTCTATCATACCTTCATGAGTACCAATACCTCATCTATGTGTTGCATCAAATAAAAACAACATGATAAGTATACAATACCTCATGGAAAACATAAACAAAAATAAGAAAAAATAACTCACCGAGTCATCAAGTCACTTGCCCATCATCAACATCTTTTCAAACCAGCTTCGGGAATAATCCCCGGTCTCACACTTCACATGGGCATCACTTCCAGATTCATGTAATAGGCATATAAGAGTTTTTTATTTTCCTCCTCTATTGGCCTATACAAATTGACTTTTAACTCCTCCAGTTTTGCTTGCCCACTTCCTCTCCCTTCCTCCATTTGCACATCACCGCTTCCTTCGCGTCCCGCCTCACCCTCCTCCATTATCACTTCCCCACTTCCTCCAGCAACCTCCTTAACCTCCTCCATTTTTGCTTCTCCACTTTCATGGACTTAATCATCCTCTTCTTCCCTCCCGCCGATTGGAGCTTCATCATCCTCGGCGTCAACAATATTCTCAAGCAGTGGCCTTGCAACTGCACTCACATGTGTGACCCCTTCTAGGTCCCACATTAGGTGGTCTATCTCTTCATCTAGTTCATCCTCCAATGCTTGGAAATATGTAACATATTCCTCTCTCGCTTCACCCCTAGTAGCGGTGAGGAAGGGACGGACGACTCCTTGCAATAAGAAACAAAATCAATCAGATTTAAGCCACTTTTTAAAGCAAATGCATATTCAAAAGTTTAATTCTTTAATCTTACCTGAGTCGCTTGAATTTCCATGTCTATTTGTCGTAATCCTAATGGGTACACTTCTCGATGTGCCATTGCAACATCCTAGGAAATTGCGGTCGCTCATCCGAAGTTTCATCCTCCCCCCGCCTTAGCCAAGACAGAGACGGCCTCATACATCCAAGCCTACATTGTAAAAAAAACAGTCCACATCATAATTAAAACACATATAATACAAAAAATATAACAAAAAGCTAATAATATTTACCTGCGTTGCCCATGGGAAGCTAAACAAATTGTATGTGCTCGGTCTATTCTTCTCGACCGATTGGGACTACTTTAACGCCATGTCTTTTCCTTGTCGAGAGTCCATGGTTAGCTGAAATGATACATGTCCCCACGGATAAGCATTAAAGAAGTTCATGTTGCTTGCAAACTTCACCCAATCCATATTAACGGCTTTTGTTGAGTCAGAAGCCATTAGGATCGAATGCACGAACCATATCAAACACATTTTGAACCTTTCTGAAGAGGTATACCCATCTTCTTCTAACCTCTCCTCTAAATCGAGTCCCGTAATAGATGATTTCTCCCCCAAAACCTTTCTAGCCAAGTTTTCGGCTGTCTTACTGTTCTTTATTCTCTCTTGCTCTGTCGCATCTGGGAATTTCCCACATCTTAAGCCCATCATCAAGGCATATTCCATCATCCCAAAACGTAGTGGCTTTCCATCCACCATGAACCACGTTTTTTTTTTTTTTTTTGCTTTTAACAGAGTGCAGCAACATTTAATGCACTCCCTACCCCTACAACGTCTTTTTTCAATTTTCTCCGATGTTCATAAAATGACTGAAACAACTCTCTTTGAATCGGTCTAAACCCTTCTTCTGTTCCCATAAAATATTTATTATTCTCATAAAAACTTGCCTACTTGACCTAACTGTCACCCTTACAGGGAAGTACGGTACCTTATCGCTTACAACCTTCAACCCATAGTCTTTATAGTTTACGCTTTGGAAAATCTGCACAATCGATATAAACTAAATATTAGCAAAAAAAAAACACCATAACTAATAGGTTGCCAGCATACTTTGTAAACAACGAAAAAGTATCATACAATGAACTTTCCAACTAATTTTTTCAAGTGTATGAGAAAAAAAAAAAAAAAAAAAAAGGAGCATCATACAATGTAAATGAACATAAAAATCATACTGCACAGCTCAATACTAATCATGCCATTACAACAATTAACAACTCAAAACATATCTAAAACATTACTAAACTAAAACTCAACCAAAGCATCAATTGAAGAGCAAGCATTGTTACACATTCACTAAACTAAAACTCAACCAAAGCATCGATATTACCTCCACCACCATCATCGACAACATCCATTCATTCATTGTTACAAACTAATAATATAAACAATCACTCAATTAAAACCTCACTGACGTATGAATTAAAAAACTTTCATTTCACACTTTAAGCACAACCAACAAACATTAGTATCACACATTACAACTTCAAGCACAACCAAATGCGAGCCCTACAGCGCGCCAGCCTTGCCAATATGTAGGGCAGCCCTCCAGCCCCTCTATTCCACCACTCCTGCCATCCCCAGTCCACCAAACTCCCAGAAACAACCTCTCTACGGCCTCCCTTGCCTTTCCCTATCCTCTGGAGCCCAAACAAAGCCACTCCACCAATGCTCGCCAACTACTCGACAAAACGCCACAACCACCATAACAATAAAACCAACTACATCTCCCCCACGTTCGCACAAATCAATCCATTTTCTCATCCAGTTCAAAAAGACAAGTAAAAAACGTACCAATTCTTCATCGGCGTCCTCCTCCTCGCCTAAATTCTCGCCGGCGTCCTCCTCTTCAAAACCCTTTTTTGATTCTTCTCTCTGTTCTAAAGCCGTCGTCGTCTCCTCTACCTTTGGACCACCTTCACTCATCGGATGATCCACCGGAGCGTTGTCTTCGACAGCCTTTGAACTGCTGGCGTAGTCGGAGTCTACGATTCGGATTGGGGTTGGGTTTTCCTCCTCTTTGTGAATGTCAGCCATGGTTTTGTTTAAGAAAGCTTTAGGATTTAAAATTTGCTGGAATTTAGGCACTGTGGTTACCAGAATTCGTAGAGAAACGAAAGTCTTTGTCGGTCATTTTTGGCATATATTGCTCGATTAAGCGATTTTGAAGGGTGGGGGCTCATTTTTAAATTTCAAAATTTAAACAACTTTCATTAATTATATTTTACCTACATATGTTTAAATCTTTTCAGTTTAACCCATTTTATATGTTTAATGAACCCTAAATATGCCCGTTCAGGTTTTCTAAATTAAAAAAAAACTCAAAAATTTCAGGGTCATTTTCAAGAAATTTCTCGTATAATGTTTGGTGACACTTTGGTCTAATATAATGCTGTGTGTTTTGTTGTAATTGTTTGGCAGATTATTTGAACCAGGAGGTTTCTTTATTTTATTTTTCCATTTAGAAGAGTTAGCTAGGAGAATTTTTGGTTCAGATTTGACCTAAGGGTTTCGTTTATGTGATAGAATGGAACTCGTTTCGAAGATTAATTCTGCGGGTGATTCAGGTTGGATAGTTGATGAGGAAGAGTTTGATTTGCTTGATGATTTGAGGTTGGTTAGTTCATTTAAGAGAAGGCGCATTGCATCTGAAAATTTCGGGTTAAATTCTTGTAGTGCTATGTTTTCAAAGAAAACCATTAACAGGAATGATGAGGCTCTTGGGAAAGTGGCAGCAGTTGCTCCAGATTATGAGAAGTTTTGGGACGATATGGTACAGTCTGTCGAGGGAGAGTTTGATTTCGCTTCCGATTTGAAGTTGAATAGGCAATTCAAGAGAAGAAGCATAGCATGTGAAAATCTTTGGCTAAATTCTTTTAGCAACGAGGGTTCAAGGAAAGCCATAAAAAATAGTAAAGCAGTAACAGTTGATTCAGATTATGGGGAGTTTCTCAATTATGCGGTGCAGTGTTTTGATGTAGATAAAGATAATAATGATGAGTGGTGTGTGGCTAATGTTAATGATGATGACGAAGATCATGTAAGCGAGGTTTTAGATGCACAATACATTATGTTCTTGGAAAATTTAAAAGAAGACGGGAAATCATATATGCTTAAACATACTCTGAGTAATGGGACCTCAGCAGTTGTGAAGTATGAGGAAGAAAATGATTTAGATACTGGACTTGGCATGGGGAATTTGGAAACTATGAAGGATTGTCATAATATAGAGAACATAAAAACAGAAAATTTCTTAGGGAGTCAATTAGAAAGGGAAAAGATTGAGAGCCCAAGAAGGATTTTGAGGAGTAATTTGGGGAAGAAAATGAATGAGAGCTCAAGAAAGGTTCTGAGAAGCAATTCAGTGACGAGAAAGACCAAGAGCTCAAAAACAGTTTTGAGGAATAGTTCAAGGTGGAGAAAGACTGCGCGAGCGACCAAAACTTTGAAGAGTGGTTCCATAAGAGAAGATAATGAGAGCTTGAGTTTGAAGGAGGCACTGAAGAGAGAAAATGCTGAGAGCCTCGGAACTTTGAGGAGTAATCCATGTGGAGAAAATGGTAAGAGTCCTAGTATTTTGAATGATGCAGTGCAGAGAGAAAAGACAGAGAGGCTTGGAACTCTGAGTAACCCACGGGGAGAAAATAACAAAAGTTCAAGTATTATGAATAATGCAGTGAAGAGAGAAAAGACAGAGAGCCTTGAAACTTTGAAGAGTAATCCTCAAGGAGAAAATAGCAAGAGTCCGACTATTTTGAATGATCCAGTGAAGAGAGAAAAGACTCCGTGCAATAGAACTTTGATAAATGGTCCAAGGAGGGAAAGCATGGGAACTGAAAGAAAGTTAAGAGATGCTCATTCCATAGATAAAAAGAGTCCACTAGTTGAGAAGAATCTGCAAACGGAAACTAAAAGTCCCGTTTTTTTTCCAGAAACTGGTTGTTCAATCAAAAGGCATAGCCTGGAGGGTATTCATTTGGCTAAGCAGAGGTTCGACCATGGTATTAAGTCTGAATTTGATGATGAAAGCTACCAAATACATCTGAATTTTGTGAAGAAAAATGATAGATGTTTGGTACATGCACCTGAAGGTGGTAAAAAAATCGTGCATTTTGGGGATGATGAGAGTGATTCAGAAGTATTTGTTCTGGATAATCCTTTTTTTACAGGAACTCCATTTGTATCAGCAAGATCACGTCTTTATGTATGTATCATTTTGCTGTTAGCTTTTAATTTTTTAATTTTTGAAGTACTCAGATAAAAATTAATATTGCATGTTTCCATTTTCTAAATGTGTGTTGTTTATGTTGTTTCACAAACAAAAAGGATGTTGAAGATGGTGAAGGGTGCACTGACAATAATGAATCTCAGTTCAGAGATGGACTTCTTGAAATTCTTCAAAAGCCTTACGACTTCACAGAGTACGCTCGTTTGCAAATTGATAGCAGACCCTATCTTCGTAAGCATGATGGTAAGATTATTAATGTGCATTCATTTTCTCAGGCTTTGCAAATGCCACTTTTTTTGTGCATATTGAGTATGTGTTTTTTACGATAAACATCTAGATAATTCTTCCCTTTGCTAACCAGGGATGGCACAGGTTAGTCCTGATTGCAAAGTTAAGAACTGAAATTTAGGCGTTGCAGTTGTCAATTGAGATTGATGATGATAGTGGTTGAAATTGCTATCAGGATCATATCATCGTAGAATCCTTGATCCACCGATGTTAACAAATGACCTTGGTTGCTTTAATAGTAGATCTGCAAGATCGTATGGTAGACTTGAAAATATGTAATAACAAATCGTTGGTTTATCAATGAACTTCCTTTACCAGATAAATTGATAAAGGATACGATATACTAAACAGTAAAAAATAAATATTTATTACATTGACACAAAATTTGAGTCATTGGTTTTGCTTTTGTGAAACATACATGCTAAACTGTTTTTCCTTTTTTTTTTTTTAGATGAAAAAAAAAATAGACTTGTTTAGTTGGGAGACAGTGTGCTCGATTTGCCAAGATCCACTGAACGTTTTGGTTGAGTTGCATGCCAAGCCAGTTAAAGACCTCTGTTTGCAGTTATCATAGGGCTGTAAGAAAAAAATCTGTAAGGAAAAACTACATGAAAGGTCTTTTGGAATATTAAGATCTTATTTTATAATTCAACACTCCACCAGATGAAGTCTACAATTCAGAAATTGTCTTTGTCTCATTTGTTTATAGGTTCAAATTATTTTGTATGTAATACCATTTGCTGTGGTTTAATTCCATATTTCAAGTAAGGTGATTGCCATTTTTAGTGATGCTGAGCAAACTTTCACCGCATGGAATTTTTGAGCATTTCACTCATTTTCATCAAACTGTGCAGGTTTAGCTTTTGGTACCATAGTCTTGTTTAGCATGGTTTCTGAAACTTCTTTTTAAATCCTTTTTACATTGTTTTTAACATCCTAGTATATATATTGTTTACATTTAGTTAAAATGGTATCATTTGTGGAACGTTTCCTTATTTGTTTCATTATGTTTTAGATTTTGCAGAAGTAATACGTCAGGCACGACGTGATCGTCGAAAAATTTTGAATCTGTTTCGTGGATTTTTCTATTGGTTGCAGGTGTGTGATTTTTTTCTGGTCACAACTTCTAATCTTTTATTTTCCCAGTCCAACTCCACTCTTGATTGATAGCTTAATATGAATAATAGTACATTGACAATTAACCAAATGGGAGTATGCATTCCACTGTGCTCATATTAATGGAAAAAAAATAATTTGCTAATCTAATTATAGTAGGTTGGATCAGCAGCTATCATTCTAATTATGTTTATGTGTCTTAGTATGTCTGTAAATTAGCACGTGTAAGGAAGTTATTTTCTTGTATGCCTAGATTTCATTCTAGTGTAATATGAACCTTCTTTGTCCTCTCTGGATTGTGGCAGTGCTAGCAGTTGGGTTCAATAAGAATTACATTGCTTTTCATTTTGCCTTTTGGCATGTGATTATGAAGACGGAAGTGTAACTTGTTTTACGCCGCCTTGCATTCAAGCTTTCATACAGTCGCATATAAACATAGATATCTTTGCATGTATATATTATAATCGATTATTGTGAAGCCCGAATATTGACATCTCCTGATTTATATTTTTGTTATGTATCTTTTTTTTTCTAGTATATGCATTCAGAAGGAACGTTTATGCCTTGGTTGGACTCTCAAATCGTAAGCATTTTACCTCCAGATGACTACTAGACTTCTCTCTGATTAAGAATGCAACATCTGAAAATCCCAAGGCAAAACATGCTGTGGAGCAATTGCGCTATATGATATAACACCATGTATAATGATATTGACAACTACAACAATGTGCATAACAAGTAAGCTCGGATTGTGAATCCTCTGTACATAATATATTGTTGTGATAACTTGATGGGCACATGCCATTTCCAGAAACTCTTGAACAATTTTCCAATTTCATTTGACATCCAGCTACATTAGCCTGCCTTTTTAGTACCCATTTTATATGAACTTTAATCTGTCACTGCAAATCTTGAGGAATCTCGTTGTTGTTGAACATAATGCGTGGCTTCCCCATGCTGAAGTTTAGTACCCTTGCATCCATGTTGTATTTAATTTCTCCATCATATAGCAGTTTTCTGATGTAGTGTTCTAAGTCAGATCCGATTAGCCGGAGAGTGTATTCTGTCAATGGGGCACCCTGTATCATTCCTCAGTTCAGAGGAAAACAGAGATTCAACAAAAGAAACACAACTCTATGCAATTGATAATCCACTAGTGAAGATTTTGATTCTGTTTAATTATGTTTTCTATGATTATTGGCTTGATTCTGTTTTAATTTAAGAATTGACTCTTATTGATTGACATGAGAATATTTTTATTTTTATTAAATTTTGACCACAGAAACTTTTTTACCTAAAAAATATTATTTAAAATTCTCACCTTAAATTCAAAAAAAAAAAAAAAAAAAATTAGTAATTTGTATGAGGCTAAAATCTAAACGGAACCTCTTGCCTTCCTCTCTTTCAAACCAATTCAGTTTCTTTGAAATTGACTGCTAATAATTTTTAGGTTTTTTCTTAATACTTTTGGAATGAAGCGGATGAGGTTCATATTAAACGATCTTATAGGAAAAATGAAATAAACCTTAATTTATAAAAACTACTTCTACTTCAATTTGGTTCCGTCTGCCTTAATAAAACTCAAGCCAAATCAAACTACAATCAGTGTCTTTGAAGTTGAAGCCTTTAAGGAAGTCGGGAGATAGAAACAATTAGACAAACTGAAACCGAACTGTATTTTAATTTAGCTGGATTAAGCTCTGGAATTTGTTCTGAACTTGTTTTGAGGGGTAATAGGTTTGTCTTGGACTCAAAGCTTTGTGTATGGTTAAATACTAAACATATGAAAGTCATGAAAAAGATACGATATGTATGAAAATATTACCTCATAGTGATCCACAAGCTCCTGGAAGCACACAAAAACCTTGTTGACACTCTCGTCGGTCCATAAAAACTCTTTGGTGGGATCCAACATGAGGGTGAGTTTATCCATCTGGGTTTGATCAAACTCCCAGGTCTCAGGATCAATGTATGCAGCATAAATCCTGACATGTCGCGTCACGCTACACAACCATTGTCCTCCAAACTCTCTGCTCATGTTTCTACTCTGCACATTGGTTTGAGGTTCCACAGGTCTCAACGGTGTCTGCTTTGGCTTCACCTTTTCTTCTTTCTTCACTTGCTGTGATTCTTTTACTTCAGCTTGCTGCTCAGCTGAGATAGAAAAAACCCTTCTCTTTGTTTGTTCTTTTTTCCCTCCAGTCCATCTCAACGACGAGAATTTTGTAGAGGCCATGGAAATGGAAGTTGCTGCCATGATATATTACCGTAGTAGCTGGCTTTCAGGTTCAAGTTTATAAAAAAATTCTTAAAAGTAACAGGGCAATTTGTCTTGTTTCTTTAAGGCCAGCTGAATTGGGTCCATTTATTTTGTGGATAAGATTATTTTGATTGTTTGAGTTGAGTGTGTGGTGAACATACAAGGAAATTTGGCTGCCCTTAAGTGCGCTTGTGCATACCATTGAAACAAAAACTAATCTGTTTGTGTTGATTTCTTTTACGTTAATCCATGTCCATTTACTTTCGACTAATTTGACAATATGATACCAATTTTTTTATGTTTTACCCGGGAATTCAAACTGTTCTTGTTTAATCAACAAGTCATTTCAATAGCCTATTGATTTGGCTGTTATAATGACACAAAGGAAATCATATCCCTCATCAAAACTATATTAACAATGTTTCAAAGCATCATCTTACAACGATGGGGAAAACAATTAGAGCACCAAGTAATAACTTTCCCAAAATGATAGAGCCACCCAAGGTTGTGCACCAAATCTGTGCATCAAATGCCGTGACAAAATCTCAACCGTTGATTAATATTAACTGAGAATAAATAAATAGTCAAGATTTTGTCACATCATTTGATGTATAGATTCGGTGCACAACCTTCCGTGGCTATAGCATTACTTAATAACTTTCTAATTTCAACATTTTTGTACCTACTTAAATTTTCAATGAAAGTAAACTGAATGGCAGAACATCCAAATTTTAAAGAAAAAAAAATCCAACACTAAATAAAATAACACAGCTCGTCTAATAATCCAAATGCTTTTGTATTTTCATTTCATTTCTAAATTCCTGTAAATTTGTATTGATGTACACTGTAGAAAATAAAAACAAAAATCCTAGAAAAATAAAAACAACATAAAGGGGGGTAAGGAATAGGGGGTTATCCTATCTCTATATAATATACAAGCAAAGACATCAAAATCATACTGCAATAGCAGAAAAACAGGAATAGACCTACTTTCTTTACTTAATTTACAACAGAAAGAATTCATATTCCTATTCCTCGTGGCCAGTTACCACGCTTCTAGTCAGAGGTCCACTGTACAGAGATGATTATGTTGTCAGCTTAAGTTCATTATGCGAATTGGTCTGACTAGCTCATCAAGATCATCTAACTGTAAATCTGAATCGTTGACATCATTAAAGGTTGTTTGCTCACTCATCGTATCATTAGTTTCTCCAGCTTCTTCATCATTAACATTGAGGTTAATATAATCTGCAAACTTTCCTTCAAAACAAATATCCCCTTTATCTTGCATTGAATACTTTGTTTTCCGGGGCTTAGAGTCCTCAGTGCTCACAGAACCAAAATAACGCCCTCGATTGTTCTTCTGCTCCCTTGACCGTCTGAATTTTTTTCCCTTGCTTCTGCTTTTTGGGTGGTGAAGCTTGCATTTGAGTCCCAGAGGGCAGGAGCCTGTTGCTTCAAAAGTGGGGCAGACATAGCTGTGCTTCTTCCGACACTGACAGCATAGATATATTCCATTTTACTTATCCAAGTAGCATGGGGTTATGTGCAATTTGGTCAAGAGAGAGAGAGAGAGAGAGAGAGAGTTTTCAAGAAGGTATCAAGAACACGTGAGATAATCAAGCATTAAATGAGTTCAATTCTTCTGTAAAAAAGCATAATTTTGCTGAAGAATTGAAGGCCAGGAGCTACAGTAGATTGTGTCAACCCACAAGGCAAGAATAAATGGTACCAGCCAGTTTAATGCTTTGTATATTTAAAGTAAGGTTGAAGCTGAATGCATAGTGTAAAGGCTTTTTTGTCTTCTAACAAAAGTACGGAGCCTAGGAGTTTCGAGTCCACTCTTCCATTCAATGCATATAATTGTGTCTTGATAGGTGCATAGATGGGACAGATTCTCATCCTTTTGCTAGTACCAAGGACTAAAACTAAATTCATAGCATGAACCAACCAGAAAATAACAAAATAGATATAGATTCTAATATAAACAGGAAATAAAGTTTTAAATAAAAGCCTAACATAGTCTCTGTATAAGAATACACTACCTCATTCCCATCAGCACAATAGCCCTTCAGAAATCCTTCGCAAGTGGAGGCTTTTGGATTCACATGTACATGCCTGTAAGGACAATCCTTGTTGGAGCACAAACCTGACAGCAAAGTCGTCAGATTCTGTGCATTATAAATAGGCTAAATTAAAACAAAACATAGCAAAATAATACACCTTGCAAGAAATAAGAACAATCTGGCATTCTTTCTGGAATGACCTGCATGAAAAATAAAACTAAGGTTAAATGCCAGCAAGATATGAGAAAAAATCTGCCATCCCTTGGAGTAGACCACTTGGGGTTATCAATCAGATCTATAACCTTATGAGTCAATTTGCAGTTAGAATTGGAACATAAACCATTCAGAAACTTTGTGCACACTGCAATTTTGGAGGGATCGTGAATATATGGACATTTTCCATCTTCCTTATTGCATTTCCCAAATCTTGTAAAAAACTGACAGTACTTCCGCTTTCTCGCTAATCGCAATCTGGCAGTGTGCAAACTCCAACGTACTTTCTCATTTGCCAGAACACGAGTTCGTTTCTTTGGATCCCTAATAAGCTGGTTGCCATTGCCAATTCGAACATACCTGCCAAATTGCATTTATTGCCAATTACTTAGGTGAAGCAGATAAACAAAACTCTCACAATCTACAAGCATATTTTGTCAAGACGACCAACGAAAGTACACAATTATCAGCATTAACTGCAGAAAGCTCCTTGCACAGGTAGAGAAAAAGTATACTGACTAGCAATTTAAGTGCTTCATTAAAGAGTACATAAACATACTCATCATTGCCAATAACTAATCTCCTTGGAATATAAGACTTCTTGGCATTTTTTTCCGAATTGAGAGCAGCTGAGCCTGTTGATTCATCATCTACAAAGAAAACGTGTCATAATGATAATTCAAGATAAAAGCACGTTAACATAATGGAGTACTGTACACTTGGAACTTCCAGTCATTAAAATTCAATCTTAATACTATAAATAAATAAAAATTAAATAAAATAAAAACCGTACTTTTTCCAACAATATTCAGTGAAATCCTCCAAATCAGTTCTCAACAATAATACATAATAAATCTGGGAGGCCAGATAAAAAAGAAAATGGACATCTAAAGAAAAAAACAATCATCTATTTCACGTAAAACAATCCAGCAGCATCTAAAAAATGAATTGAATTTGAACCCCAACTTTAGGGTCTAATNTTCCGAATTGAGAGCAGCTGAGCCTGTTGATTCATCATCTACAAAGAAAACGTGTCATAATGATAATTCAAGATAAAAGCACGTTAACATAATGGAGTACCATACACTTGGAACTTCCAGTCATTAAAATTCAATCTTACTACTATAAATAAATAAAAATTAAATAAAATAAAAACCGTACTTTTTCCAACAATATTCAGTGAAATCCTCCAAATCAGTTCTCAACAATAATACATAATAAATCTGGGAGGCCAGATAAAAAAGAAAATGGACATCTAAAGAAAAAAACAATCATCTATTTCATGTAAAACAATCCAGCAGCATCTAAAAAATGAATTGAATTTGAACCCCAACTTTAGGGTCTAATTATTTTTGAAAAGCTATTCATAGTTAAAGAACGCAAGAAACATATCATTCGCATAATTAAACAGTAACATCATAACAGGACAATAAAGAAGTAAAAGAGTTACTTGCATGGTAGCATCTGAAGTCTTAAAAACATATGGTTCAACTTCCATTAAAACCACTTTGGACAATTAGACAGAGAAAACTAAAAGTAAAAATAAATAAATAAATAAACTGAGTACTACCTGATATCCTCTGAAGGGTCCGTCTTGAAGAATCCATTTTGTAACGAACTGAACCAATGCGAAATATTCGTTCTCCTGCAAAAGCATTATAAACTTCAATATCATAGAATCATAATTATAAAATTATAATCATAGAATTATAATCATTAAAGCATCCTTGTCAAAAATGCACTGAACATAACAAGAATGTGCTACAATAACCACATAAAAAACATGACCATATGCAAAATTAACAACACAACAGGCAGACCAGAATTAACATTGGTCTACATTGAGACCGATGTAAGCTCTTTACAGACTTACGGGAAGAATGACTTCTGCTCTTTGTCTCAGAAGCAAAGGATTTAGCACCATTTTGCTCTGTCTTCTTCCTCCCAACTGCAGCAACCGCCAATGTAGCTTCCTATAATGAACAACAACAAATAATACTGATCAACAGTCAAAGCAAACTTTAATTGGAAAAAAACCATTTAGTTGGTTAACAGGGGTTACAGATAAGTTCCAAGATAAGTTAAAAAAGGGTCTGCCATAATGCATTAAGGCCTTACCTCGTTAGCTTTCTTCGAACGATTTTCAATGGATTTTGACCATTTTAGATTAGATCCACCAACACTTAATACCTTAGATTTTCGAAGGGAAAATCCATGGTTTGACCTTGTGTAAACTGTATCTCTCTTTCTCAGCAGCAACAATTTCCGACTGGACGAACAATGAGATTATTTGTTAGACCAGTAATACAAATACCATAAACTGAAAGAAGCTGCAGAATAGATATGTCACATGCTCACATACCTGATTGCAGACAAGGAGCTATTATTGGGAATGGAAATTGAATTTTGCACAAAACGTCTCCAGTATGCTGTTCTTTTCCAGGGAAAGAGGGAAGGCAGGACTTTCTGAGGATATGAGAAATGATCATCATCTTTTGATGACTGCATACTCTTCAGTGTCCAAACCAAAGAGAACCTAGAAGGTTTTTGGATCTTCGTTACAACTGCAAATGAACAAATACAAAATGAATTACTATAGTTTTACCACCAAAAACATATCATGTTACCTAGCAATAAGTAGTAGTGACTATAATGCACAGAAAGCCAGCAGAAACAAACATAAGAAACATTTAGCATAATATCCAGATGACCCAAAAATAAAAAATTAAATTAATTAGAAACATTAAAAACTTGATATCAATCATCAAAGAGGAAAAGAAAGGAGCAGCCTTTGAAAACTTCCACGTAAATAAAGCAAGACTGGAAAAGTACATGAAGAATCAGACAAGAATCTCACGGCCATGCAAGTTTCAAAAACCAAGTTTCTTATCACACTATCAATTGCCCACTTTTTATGTGTGATAGAACACATTCAAAAAGAAAAAGTGGTCGGTTTATAAAGCAACCACTTCCAATATAAAGAAATGCTCCCATTAGTAAGTACTTCATACAAACCTTTGTAAGATCGTTTTTTACGAAAACTTCTGAATATGTCCTTTGAAGCTGCTTTCCCCTCTGAAATTGAAGCACCATCAGGCAAGGTGACTGTCGGGTTTATGTGACTTTCCACTGAAGTCCTTATTAGCTGATTTTTGCGTCTCTTGTAGTAGCTATCCGAGGTAACGCCTTGGATCTTATCAGCATTTTGAATAGATGAGCTATGATGATCTGAAGCTGCAACCAACTGATTTGATTTTCTCTTCACATATTTTATTCTCTTCATATTTGAAGCAGCCAAAGCCCCATCATTCAGTTCAACCTGGCTTTCCAAACTGTTAACTGAACCAGTTTGATTTACACGAGTTTCAGAAGCCTTTGAAGCATCATTATAAGAATTGAGTGCATTATTACTTTCCACAAATTTCTGAGGATCTGAGGTAGCCTCAGAGCAACCATTTGGAAGGGGCTCAGACAATGGGGAGAATGTACAATCCCCTGACAAATTGGAAGTTTGATTTGGCATCTTCGTGACAGTGGACAAGGGAGGTGTTCTAGGCCTCTCAAACAAAGCATTTACGCCTCCCGTCCTCAACAAATTTGGCGGGTCAATTACATCAACCCTACTGTCAGATACCGTAGTCTTCTGTGATTCACCTACTCCTGAAGAATTCAACTGATAAACTGATGAAGTCAAACCGTGAGAAACTTGGGGATGGGCAGCAACTGGAGCAGGTTTTCTAACAAGACTATTACCTTTGCGAATGTAAGACATACTCTGAATCTTAGCAACCTTTTTTGGTAAATGACTTTGAGGAGGGATTGTACGTAAAAAAGACTTGTTTCCAGGTATTGGAAGAGTAGATGAATTTTCTGTGCGACGCCATGTTCGGGGCTTTTTTATTTGGGTTGAAGAGGCTGCATTCTTTGTAGAATTAAAAACAAAAGAGGAACGACTTGAAGGAATCCCAGAAGCAGCATGACTCCGTTGGTTCTTCTTCCCATAAGTTTCTCCACTTCTGGAATTTAGATTGTTAGCAGCAAATTTGACATCTGATGATGGCGATGGTCTAGTTCTTCCAGCAACTAAGTGAGCAGTGTCCAGTGTAGACCCTGACTTTAAATTATTTTTGACAGACTCTAATGATGAAGCATTAGAAAATAAATTAGAGATGCTTCCAGTCACAGGTTTCTCATTTGGCATTTTTTCATCCCCACAAACCTTTTCATCAGAATTTAGGCTAGTTGATGCTTCAGGATGAAATGATTGCATAACAGAGAGATCAGCCAAGATTTCTTGAGAACCCATATCAGATAGTGTAGTATCAAACTCCATGGTTTCATCATTGGAGTTAGTCGTGGAAACCCCATCACCCTCGACAGCCAAATCATCACTCTCAAGATGATAGCCATCAGATTCCATAAGTGTACCAGGCAATCTTTGATTTAAGTCAGAGGACTGAAGTTCTGAAGTAGTTTTCAATTGAGTGGTCTCTGTGCACACCGTAACTTGCTTTCCTGCAGCAACAGCATCCATTTTCTCTGCCTCGCTGTCTTCCATACACATAACTTCATTGCTATGGTTATTGTCATCCATAACAGGAGTTGCATTCATCATCTGCTCACTTCCAAATACTGGTGGGCAAGAGGATGCTGCAATGGGAATACATGACTCCTCAATATGTGAACAAGAATCAGCTTTTCTGAGGTCAACTTTCAAACTTTCACCATCCCTAGCCTTAAAGACATCTCTACTAATAGAAGATAAACGAGTATCCCTGTTAGAAACTGTAACCTCCCCTTCTGGTTGCATTAGAACCTCATTCATATTGGAGGGAAGTTCTAAACCAGATGTGAAGAGATCTGCAGTTATAGGTCCCTCACTGATCTCAGATATCATCAGACTAGGAAAACCAGGCTGATAAAGAGAGACTTTCTGCCTTTTTATATTCTCAGGGGAAGGTTCAATAATACCACTGCTAATTGTAACCTTAGCCTCAGAACAATTTCCCATTGAATTGCTCGCGTGCAAATCACTGAATCCATCTGGAGAAGGTTGTAAGCCAAAATCCACACTACCGTTAACCTTTACTTCTGCAGGACTAGAATCTTTGACAGATGAACTTAAGGTTGTATCTTCACATTGTGTAGAGCTAACTGCTTTCACAGGTTCCATGTTCATGTCAGTTATCATTGCATCCGGCAAATCCGACGGAGAGTTCATAACTTTGCTCTTATCTGTAATGTTAGGCATATCCTCCTCACTGCCTCCTGAAACTATAGCATTTGATAATCCTTCTGTGGCACCATTCTCAAGTGGTATGGCAAACACATCAGTTAACAGCTGTTTATCAATGTAACCACCACTAATATTGATGTCCTCTGAATTAATACAGACATTGGCAGAACCTGAAATGCTACACTTGTCATGATTGGAGCAGTCTGCATCTATGGAAACATTGTGGATTTTGGTTTCCTCTGAACTTGACAAAGCAGACATTTCACTGCTTGTCCCAGGAGGGATAGCCATTGGAAATCCTTCGACACCACTGCTACCCTGACTTTTACATGGCTGCTTACTAGAATCATCCACAGGGGTAATCTCAGAATTAGTAATTTTTTCCGGAAAGCTAACTAAATCATTATTAAAACCTATTGTTGCATTCATTCCATGGGCAAAAACACTTGCCTCATGTCTTTCATTTTCCTCCGAGCTTAAAAGATCAGAATTAATATCACCTCCTACCGAAAACAAAATTTTCGGAGATTCTTTTGTGGAAGAATTCTCAAGCAATAAAGTGTTTCCCTTGTGGCTTGTGGAAGAATTCTCAAGCAATAAAGTGTTTCCCTTGTGGCAGAACTGCTCGCCGGCAACTTCACCACTACCAATGTCAGAAACAGTAGCTTTGTTTAGTGATTTAGTTAGATCCTTTCCAGTTTTCTGTATGTCACTGAAAGAATGATCTGCATTTACAGAACCCTCATTGATTTTAGTTTCTTTATTACTAGAAGAAGCCAAAGGAGAAATTGAGTCACTCATCTTTCTCTTAATCTTAGTGATATGAGATCCACCAGAATCGACATCAGTGGTAACTTCCTCTGGTCCCATGGCAGCCTGTGAAGATCCACCCACTTTGTCACTTACAGGCAACATCATTCCTGGCTGTAAATCAACGGAATGAACTGAAGTTGCCCCAGCAGGAGTGATTTTCTCTTTGGAAGGTTTTCCTCCCTTTTTCAGCAAAGGAGCTGCAGATGCCTTAAGGGTGGAGCCATCTGCTTTCAGAGGTTCATCAAGCTTCTCTTTTGGTTGCAAACTGGATACATCTGGATTAGAGTTAATAACTTTCTTGACTACTTTCTTCACAACTCTTTTCCTCTTTGCAACCTTGAGCGAAGGTGTTTTACTAGTACTATCATCAGTGCCTCCTTTATCTGAAACAATACATTTTGACCTTCTAACCTTTGCAGGTGAACCATTAACCTGAGTGGTACAAGACTGTAAATTATGATCAAGCATTTCACCAACAGTAGAAGGGGCAACCTTCTTCCCAGATTGTTTCAAGTCAATATTTTTATCAGAACTAGAGGCATTATTCACAACATCTCTGGAACTATCCAACTTTATATTACTGTCACAAACTCTATTCAATTGTGGACTTGAACGATCCTTATCTGACGCCATAACTTTCCTATTTTTTCCATTCTTAGGTGTTACATTTGGATCAGAAACAACAGCAGAACTCAAAGGTGCCACAATTGCCTTGGCCACCAATGAATTAGATTTGAAAGAAACATCAAGCTCCACAGGACTGCCCTCTCTCTCTTCTTCAGCAACCACCCCATGATCTGAATACACAACCTTATCTTTCCCTCTCAATGAACCAGACTTCATCTCAACAAAATAACCAGAATAATGCAATTCATCATTTTCTCTAGTCCTAAAACAAGGTTTCTGTATTCTCAAAAGTGCACTCTTCTTTTGTACTTGCTTCCTTGGAGTCCTATTATACTCAAAACTGTTCTCTCTGCTTCCTCTATTATTACCATATCTTCCTGAATCTGACCCATAAAACTCACGCTTTCCACTAAAACTCCTAACTCCGCCACCACCATTCACACTATTTTGCCCCATTTCAATCATCGAATCACGAATTTCCCTCTCTCTCAATGCCTGCCTCTCAAAAACCCCGTCTCTCACATTACTCCTTATCATCTCATTACTATCAAACTGCGAACCATGTACATTCTCGTAATTAGCAGAATTCAATCTATCAGAATCAGATACAAAAAGACTACGACGTGACACAAACTCTAATCTTTGATTACTATTACCATTCTTATGCTCAAAATCAAAGACATCGTTGTTGTACCTTTCTCTTAACCTATGTTTCATATGTACTTCATGATTAATCTTCTCGATGGACCGATAACCGGACACAGGTCGGTTATCAAATTGACGATGATGTTCCAAATTGCTGACAACCGGACGGTGATCGGGAACAATCCTGGGTGGGTCCCACACATCGGGTCTGGTATCGAATTCAGGAACCAGTCGTTGACGGTGAGGATGATGGCGCTCATCGTCAACGGGAATCCGGTGGACATAATCGTGACTTCGTTGATGGTGGTGGTGACGATTGTGATCAACATTGACAGATTTAGGGTTAGGGTTAGGGTTAGGATTAAAATTGGGATTGAACGAGAGTTGGGGGTGATGGTGGGAATTATACGGATTCTTTGTTGGTGCTGGGACAGAAAGAGGAGGGTGATTAAGTGGTGGAACCGGTGTCGGAGCAGGGAGCGATTGTTGCGGCGGAGGGAGAGGTTGTTGTTGTTGTTGTTGAGGCAGTGGTGGTTGCGGACGGTAGTTGTAAACATGGGATGAAGGTGATGGTGCATAAAAATTAGGGTTCGGAGATGAAACGCCGACGTACCTGGCGCGATGAATATATGGAGGATCCATCACTGGCCGGCTTTTCTTCTTCTTGCAGCTGTTCTTGTTGATGTTGCTGCTTTCTGGCTGTTGCGTCTTTGGTTTGCTTTTGTTGTGTGCTTAGTGTTTGGTTGCGTCGATGTTTTTAATAAGTGGATGTGAATTTTCACTTTGGTCTTTGACTGTTGATACTGTAATGCGTTTCTTGTTTCCTAAACTCTCGTGCGTTGGATTATTTCGGATCTTTCCGTTTATTCCTTTACACTACCTTACCCTACCATTTAATACAACTGTATTTTTATTTATATTCGTATAAGCTAAGAATTTCCATCTTCTTATTACTTTTTAATAAGTCACTGCAATAGAAAATAATTATTCGATTTTAAACATTTAAATGATACATAAAAGCTTGATCGGATTCGGACTACAAATTTCTATACAATTATTCAAAAATAATAATAAATCAGATTTACAGACGTCCATTTATCTTCTATCCTTACGACAGCCCACCAGCATCCATAAGTGGCCAACGTGAGCCACACATAATTGAGTTGAATTCAAGCCCAAATTTCGCCTGAACTGGCCCAATAAACAAAAATAAAACCACCCCATATCCATCAGCATTATCTCATAATCTCCCCCCATTGAAGGGTCGAAAAGTGGATGTTTTTGGTGAATATTTTACCGGGATGAAGAAGGCACTGGTGATATAACGTTATAGTAATGGGTGTCGGTGGCAATAGCGGGTGGAAGAGACCTGTTCACTTGTTACAATCAGAATTCTACTTTAGTAGTTAGTGGTATATATTGTGCGTTGTTTTGTCATTTGTGGTGTTGGGAGATGTTAATGACTTCAACAAAGAAAGCAATTTGTTTGGCAGAACGTGACGACAAAATAAAGGATGTTGATTAAAGCAGGAAAAAGGAATCTAAAAACAGTAACCATGGAGGACCAGTTGGACAATAATAGCAGCTAGTTGAGAGATGACAATGACTTGGATCATGGCTGAGTAATTGACTTGTATGAGCATGTTGTTGGTCATAAAGGATAAAGCCATATCCGAAAGGGACAAACAGAAAATCCAAATATTCAGGTAATTTATCTGCATCAAGTGCTCACTTTTATAACATGTGAATCATTTTCCATTGTTACAACGTACAACAAACTCTTGATCAAATGAGATCAACTATTATGACTAGTAAGGAAAGGAGGAGGGCACACCGACAAACAACCTCGCATCCAACCCTTATTTGGTAAGCAATCCAGAGAAGAAGCAAAACCCCAACTGAGAGTTGGGTTGAAACCAAAAGAATGTACAAAAGAATCACATAAGTGAACCATTTATACTCGCAATTGTTGTTGCCAGTGATGTGGTTAGTCAAAGCTTGATGAGCGGCTCCACCTGCCTTGCAAGTAGTCCTCTAATGAGACACTTTGCTCAATGCTGCTCATGGAGAATGAATCATTCTCAACGTCGAGCAGTGCGAGATTAAGATGGGATTGAAGGTTAGAACGCGGGCAGGCTTCATCATCTAGCATGTCGGATTCTTCTGAAGCATTAACTTGTAGTCTTGCCCACTTAGTTACATCAGTATCACCTTGGAGGAGCTTCAGAACCTGGGATAAATGAAAGTTCATAATCTTAAAACAACTTCCCCAACAAACCAATGGAGGGAGCTATTGCAGCTAATAAAGATAACTTACAAGATTCATTTGAGGCCTAGCTCGTGGGGCACGCCTGATACAAAGAATAGCTGCTAAAACCATCCTCTCCATCTGGTCATGATCATAATTGTTGCCCAAGGTTGGATCTAACAATTGTGTGACCTTCCCACTGTTTAGAACTGGCTTTGCCTGGACAAGAAGTTCGATTTGTTCATTGAAAAACAAAACCAAATGGTCAATTCAGACATGAGTAAATTCCGTCAGTAGAGAATACATACCCACATGACTAAACTCTCTTGGCCTTTGGGATAGTCATTGCTTATTGGCTTTCTGCCTGAGAGAAGCTCAAGGAGTACAACGCCAAATGCATAGACATCCACCTTGTCATTTACTTTGCCGTACATGAAGTATTCAGGGGCCAAGTAACTGCAGCAAATTTCCATTTTTTTTCTGGTAATGTTAGGAACTAATAAATGGGAATAAAGGATTATGTCTTTCATTGAAATTAATCAAATGAACAAAACTGGGGTGCGAATTACGTACCCAAAGGTTCCTGAAACATCAGTGCAGGTTATATGTGATGCGGAGGTCGATGCCCATTTGGCAAGTCCAAAATCAGATAGCTAAAGAAAAACCAAGTGGAAAAGCATGAACAGTTATGAACCAGTTCTGTTTTTAAGCCCTTTCATATTAAAAATACAGAACAAGTAGAGATAAATTTGAAAGGTACCTGTGGCTCAAAATCATCTGACAGTAGTATATTTGATGATTTAACATCCCTATGGATCACACGTTGAGCACTGCCACTGTGGAGACCCTGGCTGCTTACTAGAATCATCCACAGGGGTAATCTCAGAATTAGTAATTTTTTCCGGAAAGCTAACTAAATCATTATTAAAACCTGTTGTTGCATTCATTCCATGGGCAAAAACACTTGCCTCATGTCTTTCATTTTCCTCCGAGCTTAACAGATCAGAATTAATATCACCTCCTACCGAAAACAAAATTTTCGGAGATTCTTTTGTGGAAGAATTCTCAAGCAATAAAGTGTTTCCCTTGTGGCTTGTGGAAGAATTCTCAAGCAATAAAGTGTTTCCCTTGTGGCAGAACTGCTCGCCGGCAACTTCACCACTACCAATGTCAGAAACAGTAGCTTTGTTTAGTGATTTAGTTAGATCCTTTCCAGTTTTCTGTATGTCACTGAAAGAATGATCTGCATTTACAGAACCCTCATTGATTTTAGTTTCTTTATTACTAGAAGAAGCCAAAGGAGAAATTGAGTCACTCATCTTTCTCTTAATCTTAGTGATATGAGATCCACCAGAATCGACATCAGTGGTAACTTCCTCTGGTCCCATGGCAGCCTGTGAAGATCCACCCACTTTGTCACTTACAGGCAACATCATTCCTGGCTGTAAATCAACGGAATGAACTGAAGTTGCCCCAGCAGGAGTGATTTTCTCTTTGGAAGGTTTTCCTCCCTTTTTCAGCAAAGGAGCTGCAGATGCCTTAAGGGTGGAGCCATCTGCTTTCAGAGGTTCATCAAGCTTCTCTTTTGGTTGCAAACTGGATACATCTGGATTAGAGTTAATAACTTTCTTGACTACTTTCTTCACAACTCTTTTCCTCTTTGCAACCTTGAGCGAAGGTGTTTTACTAGTACTATCATCAGTGCCTCCTTTATCTGAAACAATACATTTTGACCTTCTAACCTTTGCAGGTGAACCATTAACCTGAGTGGTACAAGACTGTAAATTATGATCAAGCATTTCACCAACAGTAGAAGGGGCAACCTTCTTCCCAGATTGTTTCAAGTCAATATTTTTATCAGAACTAGAGGCATTATTCACAACATCTCTGGAACTATCCAACTTTATATTACTGTCACAAACTCTATTCAATTGTGGACTTGAACGATCCTTATCTGACGCCATAACTTTCCTATTTTTTCCATTCTTAGGTGTTACATTTGGATCAGAAACAACAGCAGAACTCAAAGGTGCCACAATTGCCTTGGCCACCAATGAATTAGATTTGAAAGAAACATCAAGCTCCACAGGACTGCCCTCTCTCTCTTCTTCAGCAACCACCCCATGATCTGAATACACAACCTTATCTTTCCCTCTCAATGAACCAGACTTCATCTCAACAAAATAACCAGAATAATGCAATTCATCATTTTCTCTAGTCCTAAAACAAGGTTTCTGTATTCTCAAAAGTGCACTCTTCTTTTGTACTTGCTTCCTTGGAGTCCTATTATACTCAAAACTGTTCTCTCTGCTTCCTCTATTATTACCATATCTTCCTGAATCTGACCCATAAAACTCACGCTTTCCACTAAAACTCCTAACTCCGCCACCACCATTCACACTATTTTGCCCCATTTCAATCATCGAATCACGAATTTCCCTCTCTCTCAATGCCTGCCTCTCAAAAACCCCGTCTCTCACATTACTCCTTATCATCTCATTACTATCAAACTGCGAACCATGTACATTCTCGTAATTAGCAGAATTCAATCTATCAGAATCAGATACAAAAAGACTACGACGTGACACAAACTCTAATCTTTGATTACTATTACCATTCTTATGCTCAAAATCAAAGACATCGTTGTTGTACCTTTCTCTTAACCTATGTTTCATATGTACTTCATGATTAATCTTCTCGATGGACCGATAACCGGACACAGGTCGGTTATCAAATTGACGATGATGTTCCAAATTGCTGACAACCGGACGGTGATCGGGAACAATCCTGGGTGGGTCCCACACATCGGGTCTGGTATCGAATTCAGGAACCAGTCGTTGACGGTGAGGATGATGGCGCTCATCGTCAACGGGAATCCGGTGGACATAATCGTGACTTCGTTGATGGTGGTGGTGACGATTGTGATCAACATTGACAGATTTAGGGTTAGGGTTAGGGTTAGGATTAAAATTGGGATTGAACGAGAGTTGGGGGTGATGGTGGGAATTATACGGATTCTTTGTTGGTGCTGGGACAGAAAGAGGAGGGTGATTAAGTGGTGGAACCGGTGTCGGAGCAGGGAGCGATTGTTGCGGCGGAGGGAGAGGTTGTTGTTGTTGTTGTTGAGGCAGTGGTGGTTGCGGACGGTAGTTGTAAACATGGGATGAAGGTGATGGTGCATAAAAATTAGGGTTCGGAGATGAAACGCCGACGTACCTGGCGCGATGAATATATGGAGGATCCATCACTGGCCGGCTTTTCTTCTTCTTGCAGCTGTTCTTGTTGATGTTGCTGCTTTCTGGCTGTTGCGTCTTTGGTTTGCTTTTGTTGTGTGCTTAGTGTTTGGTTGCGTCGATGTTTTTAATAAGTGGATGTGAATTTTCACTTTGGTCTTTGACTGTTGATACTGTAATGCGTTTCTTGTTTCCTAAACTCTCGTGCGTTGGATTATTTCGGATCTTTCCGTTTATTCCTTTACACTACCTTACCCTACCATTTAATACAACTGTATTTTTATTTATATTCGTATAAGCTAAGAATTTCCATCTTCTTATTACTTTTTAATAAGTCACTGCAATAGAAAATAATTATTCGATTTTAAACATTTAAATGATACATAAAAGCTTGATCGGATTCGGACTACAAATTTCTATACAATTATTCAAAAATAATAATAAATCAGATTTACAGACGTCCATTTATCTTCTATCCTTACGACAGCCCACCAGCATCCATAAGTGGCCAACGTGAGCCACACATAATTGAGTTGAATTCAAGCCCAAATTTCGCCTGAACTGGCCCAATAAACAAAAATAAAACCACCCCATATCCATCAGCATTATCTCATAATCTCCCCCCATTGAAGGGTCGAAAAGTGGATGTTTTTGGTGAATATTTTACCGGGATGAAGAAGGCACTGGTGATATAACGTTATAGTAATGGGTGTCGGTGGCAATAGCGGGTGGAAGAGACCTGTTCACTTGTTACAATCAGAATTCTACTTTAGTAGTTAGTGGTATATATTGTGCGTTGTTTTGTCATTTGTGGTGTTGGGAGATGTTAATGACTTCAACAAAGAAAGCAATTTGTTTGGCAGAACGTGACGACAAAATAAAGGATGTTGATTAAAGCAGGAAAAAGGAATCTAAAAACAGTAACCATGGAGGACCAGTTGGACAATAATAGCAGCTAGTTGAGAGATGACAATGACTTGGATCATGGCTGAGTAATTGACTTGTATGAGCATGTTGTTGGTCATAAAGGATAAAGCCATATCCGAAAGGGACAAACAGAAAATCCAAATATTCAGGTAATTTATCTGCATCAAGTGCTCACTTTTATAACATGTGAATCATTTTCCATTGTTACAACGTACAACAAACTCTTGATCAAATGAGATCAACTATTATGACTAGTAAGGAAAGGAGGAGGGCACACCGACAAACAACCTCGCATCCAACCCTTATTTGGTAAGCAATCCAGAGAAGAAGCAAAACCCCAACTGAGAGTTGGGTTGAAACCAAAAGAATGTACAAAAGAATCACATAAGTGAACCATTTATACTCGCAATTGTTGTTGCCAGTGATGTGGTTAGTCAAAGCTTGATGAGCGGCTCCACCTGCCTTGCAAGTAGTCCTCTAATGAGACACTTTGCTCAATGCTGCTCATGGAGAATGAATCATTCTCAACGTCGAGCAGTGCGAGATTAAGATGGGATTGAAGGTTAGAACGCGGGCAGGCTTCATCATCTAGCATGTCGGATTCTTCTGAAGCATTAACTTGTAGTCTTGCCCACTTAGTTACATCAGTATCACCTTGGAGGAGCTTCAGAACCTGGGATAAATGAAAGTTCATAATCTTAAAACAACTTCCCCAACAAACCAATGGAGGGAGCTATTGCAGCTAATAAAGATAACTTACAAGATTCATTTGAGGCCTAGCTCGTGGGGCACGCCTGATACAAAGAATAGCTGCTAAAACCATCCTCTCCATCTGGTCATGATCATAATTGTTGCCCAAGGTTGGATCTAACAATTGTGTGACCTTCCCACTGTTTAGAACTGGCTTTGCCTGGACAAGAAGTTCGATTTGTTCATTGAAAAACAAAACCAAATGGTCAATTCAGACATGAGTAAATTCCGTCAGTAGAGAATACATACCCACATGACTAAACTCTCTTGGCCTTTGGGATAGTCATTGCTTATTGGCTTTCTGCCTGAGAGAAGCTCAAGGAGTACAACGCCAAATGCATAGACATCCACCTTGTCATTTACTTTCCCGTACATGAAGTATTCAGGGGCCAAGTAACTGCAGCAAATTTCCATTTTTTTTCTGGTAATGTTAGGAACTAATAAATGGGAATAAAGGATTATGTCTTTCATTGAAATTAATCAAATGAACAAAACTGGGGTGCGAATTACGTACCCAAAAGTTCCTGAAACATCAGTGCAGGTTATATGTGATGCGGAGGTCGATGCCCATTTGGCGAGTCCAAAATCAGATAGCTAAAGAAAAACCAAGTAGAAAAGCATGAACAGCTATGAACCAGTTCTGTTTTTAAGCACTTTCATATTAAAAATACAGAACAAGTAGAGAAAAATTTGAAAGGTACCTGTGGCTCAAAATCATCTGACAGTAGTATATTTGATGATTTAACATCCCTATGGATCACACGTTGAGCACTGCCACTGTGGAGATAATTTAAGGCCTCAGCCACCCCCACAGCCACCTTATATCTCTCAGTCCAACCAAATGCATGTGGATCTTTCTTGTTACCTAACGAATAAGCATAAAGAAGGTGTAAACCGAAGTGAAAACTAAATGCTAAGTCAACCTAACAATAATCTTTGGAGTCTCCTCAATTTCTAAAGTAAAAGTACTATGTGTTCACATACCATGAAGGTTTTCTTCCAGGCTTCCTCTAGATAGAAAATCATAAACCAATAGACGATTATTGTCTTCGAAACAGAATCCCAAAAGAGAGATGATGTTCTTGTGATGTAATGTAGTAATTATCTCAATTTCCAAAACAAACTCCTTCAGCACATCTTCAGATGACTTCAGGATTTTCACAGCAAGCTCCTTGCCATCAGGAAGCCAACCTTTATAAACCTGACTGCTGCCTCCTTTTCCAATCAAATTCTCTGGAATCAATAATAAATATTGTTAGACTAAACCAAGTACCCAGAATGGACAAAAGATAAACTGTTTTAAAACAGCAGTTTGAGGATCCAAACATACCAGCCAAGAAATTAGATGTTGCAGAGAGGAGTTCCTGGTACTTAAACAGTCTGCAAGTAGCAGAGTATTTCTCATGTAGACCCTCCAATTCGTTGGGCAGTTTTGTTGAATTTTTGTCAGGAGAAGAAGAAGTTCTAACAATCTCATTTCCAGCTGGAACAATTGCACCACTTTCTCCATCCAAACTGGAAGATTCGATATTTCCTTGAGCACAACTACTTTGTTTAAGATCTGAATCCGTAATAAGTGAAGGTTGCCTAGAGGGCAACCGCAATGCCCATTGTACCACAGAGATCTTCCTCAATGAAGACCTATCAGGAGCTTGTCGCTCTGTTAACACTGTTCGACGAAGCAGTGGCCATCCAGGCCTCGCTTCAGGCAATTCTCTGATCAATAAAGTTATAGAAGTTGAAGGTGACTCTACCTTCTGAACAGGCACTATAGCCAAAGAATCACCTTCACCTCTGCCGCCATCACCATTGCAACTTGACTCTTCTTCACATGGGTTACAAGAATCATCTGGGAATACTCCAGCCGGTCCACAAATGGAGCAGTTTTGTTTCCTAGCACTGTCCAAGCAATCTGAACCGGCTTTCGCTAAGGCCCTTTCCAAATTCAACATAGAACCAAGATCATTAACAGATTTATGTGCTACATTAGGAGCATCATCATTAACTACTTTAGAATTCTTTGGTCCTCCAGCATTCATAGTCAATGATATTGACCGGTGTATTACATCAAGCAAACTATTCCGGCGATGATCTTCAGTTCCTGCAATAAGTCAAGCTTAATTTTTTTAATAAAACCAATAAAATTCATGCCCGTCTCAGAAGAAAAAAAGGGATAAAGTTCACAACCTTGTGTTTCAGCAGATTTTGATAAAGGGCCCTCTCTTTGGTAAACAACTTTTCCATTGTTAACCGCAAGAACTGCACATTCCTTTGACAGTTTCTTAGCACAATATTTAGCCACAGATGTTGATGATCGGATTGTATGGTGATTTCTAGCAGTTCCAACTATAACCTTAGATGCAGAGTAAGAATTTGCTTCTCTAACTAATATTTTCCGAATTGATGTTCCTCTGCATATTTTAAGCTTCAGATCCACCTGCAACATTTACATTACAATAAATAACGAATTTTCATTTCTATTCAAGAAAGTACCACAGTTAACATTAAAGAAACTATAATTCTGCATCTTCAACCAACTAAAGCCTCCGTAAGTTTGCTAACTGGACCTGAATTTCTTTTTATGGAAGCTTAAAGACCGAAGTTCTCTTTAAAAAATTCGTTCATTTTCAAAACAACCAGGCAGAGAGCAAGGACTAAATAGCAAGTTTTAATTAAGAGACATACAAATAATAAAGTGAATGAAACCAAACCTGTTTCAAGTTGCAGAAACCTTCATACACGTCAAGAACAGAGTCAAAAGCTTTAACGAGTGACAAAAGCGAAGACTTCCCATCACGATCCACAATTTCTACGCACAACGCAGTTCACGTAACCACTAAAAACAACCAAAACACAAACCAAAAAAAAAAACACTCAAAACACCCACATAATCAATCACGTATACTTACCATTGTTGCCAAGAACATGAAGAGCTATCACTGAATCACCGGGCTGCGCAACTTTGACCAGAGCCCACGTCAACAACTCTCTGCTATGCGAGTCCAACTTCACACCCACCACCACCGTCCCACCACCACATGAACTCGCCACGTCAGCTTCTTCTCCGACCAAACCAGCCTGTTGCACCATCTTCATTGCTGCTATGTCGTGCGTAAGTGATTTAACAATTGAGGTCGAATTCTTTGTCGTTTTGTTGCCCAAAATAGAAGATCATTTTAAGGTTATATAAATGTTAACTGTTAAGGTTTGGCAAGAGAGTTGCGTTTGAGAGAGAAAGAGAAAGAGAGAGTCTTTCTCTTATGGCTTAACCGTCGTCAGTTTGTTTGCTTTCCAAGCTCGCCAACCAGACCAGAAAAAGAAAGGGAGGGAGAGGAGGTTTCACGCTAAACTCAAGAGTAGAGTAGGGTTTGAGTGTTGTTTAAAGTTTATGTTTTGCACGGTGTTGATCATGACCACGTGATGAAGGAATGGAGGGTCCCAGATCTAATGCCGTGCGACCAGTATTTAATATGAGAGATACTGTTGGATAAAATTAGGTCATGAAAATAAGCATGGGATATTTTACTTGTTGAAGAATGTAGGGACACATTTTCTAAATTTCTAACTATTTTTTTTTTATTATATTCTACTTGCAATATAGAGTATGTTTTATCAACCTTACCTTAATGAAAATGTGTCATTCATGCTTACTTATTTAATTAATAATTTCATAAATTTAACTCTAAATTGTCATCTAATAAATGAGTCAGGTTCAATTCATGTTACATTTGACTTGTTCAAGGCAAACTATTTATTTTATTATTTGTATCGCCAAAACATTACCTTAAAAATACAAAAATATTTGCTTTCAAAAGGATGAAAATGTATTAATCAATTTTCACTTAGTCTCATATGTTTATGCGCGTGTTATTCACTCTCGTGCAGGCGAAGATTGACACCGAAATTCACGGGAAAAGGTGAGGGGACCCCACTAAAAATAATCCGTGATGCGGAGAGCGTGAAATGTTTTTCTGTACGCGCGTGAGACGTGACATTAGGTTCTTATCTATTACTATTTCCAAAGTCTTTTCATTCGTTTTTTGGCTTTCCTTTCCGCACGCTTTAATACTCTTACCTTTTATGTTATAGAAGATAATTAAAATTGTCTTTATTTAATGTTAGTTAATTGATTAGAAGGTGATTATTGCATTACGGTTGTTTTCATGTTGATTATAAGCCGCCGGTGGACCCTTTAATGTTTCCTCCACCTGACCACCACCACCTACCTCATGTTTTAACTTTTACATAATAATTTTATGTGGTTTTTATCTGCAATTAATTTATTTGAAAAACATTATAATATAAAAATTATTTTTCTTAATTTCATTTTGTATGATTTAACCTGAGGAAATATTAAATTCAAAATGTCCTTTGAGCTAACATGATGATGGAATCAACTTCTGTTTATTAATTAATTAATGTACTTATAAGTTGATGTAATGATGCTCCATTGTTAGTCATAATGATCTCATTGTTGTTGGTAATTCATAAATCATTTCATGCGCCCAAATAATTTTTATTCCTTTATTTTATTTTATTTTTTTAATTTCGAGGATTGTAATTTGTGAGTAAAATAAATTATTTTTATTATTAGTTTCGTTGTTTTCACATTAATCGGAGATCACTCATTCATTGATAGGGCGGTGATGAATGTTACCGACCCGGCCCGTGACTGCGTACTGAAAGTCTGAAACACTCTACCTGACTTCTGTACCTGGTAGCGTATAACTATTATCACGTGATTCCCAATCAAACACCATACACATGGCAACTTTCTTCCTAGTGAGCCCCACGTAAAAGCCATACCTAACACGTGCACCACAAGCTGACGGCCACGTGCCGCAACCTACTACGAGAATTCCGTACAGTTTATTAGATTTATACAGGATAATTATAAATATTGCTCACGGCCTTGAAGTTGAGCCACATCTCTTTCTTATATTCCAGGATTAAATGAAATTTAAAATAATTTATTTTTTGAACGCATGGAATCAAAATATTCATATTCATATCCGATAACCGGTAATTAAATTAGAAGAAACTGAATAATTGGAACAGCAACGTTACAGGGGGTGGTGATCCTGGACCTCCTGGTCCCCTACAGTAGCATGCATGTGATAGGCTCTACTCTATTAAAAAAAATGGGACCCATTTCAGTTGATGTGTAGCGTGGTCCACCTCCACCACCACCACCACTACCGTCCTAAAATTAACCGCTTCTACCTTTGCAAATCATCTAACTAATTAACTCTGATCTCCCCGTAATAACACATTAATTAATTATCAACTTTTAATTAATTAATCTAATAATTAGTTAGCTTGCGGGGTGTCGGTGGATCTGAGCGTGCGTGGGATGTCACGTGCTAGAGTAGACGAGGGGTGATGGGCTAGTCAAGTTATTTAATTATCGCACTCATATCATATCCCAAGCGCCCACATTTATAGACTAAAAGATATTTTTTTTTAAATAATAATTTAAAAAAAAAAAAAAAAAAAAGCGCCCACATTTATAGACTAAAAGATATTTTTTTTTAAATAATAATTTAAAAAAAAAAAAAAAAAAAAAAAAAAAAAAAGATTGATTGAATAGAGAGGAGGTGAGGCTGCCGGGTAGTTGCCCAAAATTAGGGCTGCTATGATTTATTCAAGTACTCAAAGTTAGAGAATCTGTGTAGTTTACTTCATTTTTTTACTTCTCAAATTGGTGATCTTTCATCTTAATTTGGTTCAATTCGAATGAGAAAAGATCTTATTTGAATATAAATATTGTATTTTATGAGTGAAGGTCTCATATAATCTTATTATTATTGAAAAATGCTCATCTTTAAAAGTTTGGTAATGTTATCGAGATGATATTAAATTGAAATTTGGTACTTGGTCAATTATAACTGTCATATAATGCTTAATTTTCTTCTACTTGTTATAAGGTCTAATAAAGAAGATTGGTGGGATTCTTAAGCTTCTCATTTTGCCAAAAATTAAGAGAAAAATCCATACATGACTTTATATGAGACACAAGAACGGCATTGCCCAAATAATTTATTTTGGTTATGGTTAATCTTTTACATCAGTTGTTTCAATTTCTTGCATCTCATTCTCTATTTGAAACCACACAACTTGTTTTGCGTATCCACTTCATGGATTACTCAAGTCCAAATCCCAATGCAAAAACAAACTAATCAATTATTGAAGCATATATGTGTTCATATTATGTTAGTCAGATGACAATATAACACAAAGTAATCCAGAGAGGAACTATTCTAGTACGGATGGTCCTACAGTATCAAATATGGGTGAGCACGAGTAGCGGATAGAATTGGAACTGGAATCGAAACCTACCCAAAACCGACACTGTGCGGGTAGGTTTCGCTTCCATTTTATTGGAACTGATATTGTGTGGTTCTGGTTCTAGTTCCTACAAGTTTCGGAATCGGAAACAGAACCAGAGCTAGAACCCGGAAAAAGAACCTGAAGTGGATACCCGGCTTGGAACCTATTTGTGTTTTGGTTTTGATTAAAAAAAATTATATGAATTATGATGAATTGATTGAATTCAAGTGTTGCCTAGAGATTAGAGAGTTTATGAGTCACATTAGACATAAATGAATGAGTAATTAAAAGTTTAAAACTACTAAATGTAGGTTTTCTTAATTTGTTAGGGGTGTATTTGTAAACTTTTAAGGTATTTTTATCATTTTTTAAACTACTAGGAGGTAGGGGGATAACTATTTTTTATAGGGTTCCTTGAATTTAAGAACCAGAATTGATAGGATTCGGTTCTGGTTTCTTGTTTTGGGAACCTGTATAGTTGTACTATGTGGTTTTGATTCTGATTTTTTCAAAAAATGCAAGGTATTCGGAACCGCTCACTCATAATATCAAATATAATATTATAATAGACAAAAAAAAAAAAAAAAAATCAATGTTTTGATCTCCTGACATTTGTGGGCCTTAATCACTAGTGCACCGACAATTTTTATTGAATCGAATAATTATTTAATCTAAGAATAATTCGGATCATAAAAGTACATGAACTAAATAGAATCGGATTCAATATTAATTGTTTTGTGACCCTACCCAAAAATAAAATACGTATCTTTGTGATAGCTTGATTACATTTAAGAGCATTTTTGTATGCATTGGGACAGTCCCCCCTTGAATTTTGAGGACGCTGCCTCCTGACTATGCACAAATATTTAAAGCTTGGATTTATATTCTATAAATCCATAATATTCCAATGAAAAACGCATTTCATTTATGGGTATTCTGTTTCTTAAAACTTCAACATATTCTTGTATTGAAATCAAAAGAAAACGTGAATTATTCCTTTAAACAAGGCCGTAATTAGTCCCTAAATCGTGATTAATGGTGTCAACTAATTTTAGGCATCCTCTCGCAATTCCCAACAAACGTTACCATATTTTACATGATTAATAAACTGAACGACATGACACTTTCGTGTACTAAAATTGATGCCTAAGGCCGGAAACTAATTAAATTAAATTTATTGATTGGGCAGTTACATGCAATGATACTTGCTTGAGTTTCGTGCGTGCCTAACAGTGGGCCGTTAAATTTGGGGTTTGGAAGACCAAAACGACACTCTAACCAATACAAAACACAACGCACCAGCGGCAATGTTATTACTAACCTCCTGATTTTCCCGCCCTCAATTTTCTTATGGTTTCAACGAACAATTAACTAATGAATTAATTATTATCTCTTTAACTGACAGAAAAGGAAACGTAACTTGTCAGTTGGTGGCCTTGCTTTCCACGACAGGCACTAAATCTTAGATGGGTATATAGGATGATTAATCTAAGATAAAGCATCTGTCAATTAGGGCAACGATCTTAAGTTCAAAGTCAACTCTTAAACAATAGTAGGAGTTGTTGAAGTTATCGACGTGTTTAACAAGTTATATCTATTTTTAATATTATTTATATAATTTAGAGACAGTTTTGATTTAAGTAAATTAGTGAGTTTGATAGGACTATATCACTGACTCCTTTCCTTGTCATTATCATTTATTTCAAATTGTACAGCTCTAACACATAAACCCTTCAAATATTAAACATAATTTCTGAACCGCCAGTTGAGCACAACTCTTATACACTAATTTATTGGCGTTCGCACATTGGTCTTTCTGTATGCATGTAATGGTGAAGTTTAGGTTTTTGAGGGTTATCGAGTCCGTTTTAGTTGACTAGGCCATGATTTTGAAAAGCCCACATACAAAACCCAGTCGGTAGTGAACCCATTGGAAGTGTATGTCAAAATATTGATTGATTCCCGAAACAAGGCACTGAATCTTTTGATGAATGAGGACCTGAAGTGGTGAGTCCCATCATCATTGAACAAATTTTAATAAATATAAATCGCACTAGTAATTATGTGGAGTTTGATTTGTATGATTATTCTCATAATCATTGTATAATTATGAAATTAATTCACTCTATTTTGTGAGTTTGTAAAAGGAGTTTTGACCTAAACATTATTCAACACAATAGTAGTGGATCTGGATATTGCTTGGCGGCCGGTGATTAGTTTGATTTTTTTTTTTATAGAGAATGGAGATGGGCCTGCCCCATAATTCTCTTCAATAAGGAGAATAACATTTTCCCACCCAAGGTTTGATGAAACCGCTTTCCCACCCTTCATTAGGTTATGTTACTGTTTTCTGTTAATATTTGATTGAAAAGACAAAAATACCCTTAGATAGTTTATTATAAATTAAAATTTAGTTAATTCAAAGTCTTTATTCGATTATCTATTAGTCCAAGTATAAAGATACATTTTTTTCTTGTTTATTTAATTAATTAGGAATATTGATTTTTTATGTTAATTAGTAAAAATAAAAAACATTATAAGTAATAGTAATGTGATATTGATGACATTATAAATAAATATTAAGATTATTTAACTTTAAACAATTTTATAGTATTACTCCTAACTTTTTAGGTGGGGTTAACTATTTTTTATTTTTTGAATTTTTAATATTTGACTTTTTGGCTAATTAAAAAATAATAAAAAATTTATAAAGTAAAATATTTAAGGGCATTTTTGTCTTTTCAATAAAATATTAACGAAAAATATAACAGACACTAACGAAAGGTGGGAAAGTGTCATTTTGAAACTTGATAGGTGAGAAAATGTCATTCTCCCTCTTTTATGACATATTATTGATATAATTTTCAATATCTATAAATTCAAAATAAAATTGAACAAATAAATTTTACTGATTTACTTCATTTTGACTTTTTTAATTAATCTTAGAGTATATATTTTCTTGCTTATATCTAAAGTAACGTCTTAGATATTGTAGGACATTTAATTAGTAATAACCACATTTTTTAGAATCCTTTATCCTTAATTGGTAATATCATAAACTGTTTAAAAAAAAAATCATCATATTTAATATCAACATTGAAACTTCATTATCATAAATCAATAATCCAAATAACAATATAATAAGTTACATCACTCCAAAAACGTGGCACTCAAATAAAGCGAGTAAAACCAAAATTCCATACTCGACCTAGTAGTCAACTCAGTTTCTTCTATGCACTTTCCAAATAGGAAGCATAAATTCCAACTTGTAATGTTCTCATTCTCCTCTCTACAACTGCAAACACTCTTATATTCCTCTACCTTTAAAGCTTCATTTTTTTTCCTTTTTTTTTTTTTGTGCTACAGTTAAGTCCACGAAAAGTTTTTATTCTTCTTCAGGCGCCCCTACATATCACTAAAAACGCTTTCCAGTGTTCATCTGGGTATGTCTATGTTTCCCCTCCCTTTTAATTTGGTTGATATCTTTGCGTAACCTTTCTTAAAGTTTCTTGATATCTTTGCTTAACCTTTCTTAAAGTTTCTTTCTTTTTCGTTCCTTGGTGGTGGGTCTTTTCAGTTTTTTCTTTCTCTTCTTTGATTTTCTGATTCAGTTTTCTGTTATCTTTGCTTTTTTTTTTTTGTTGAATTTTTCTCAAGTTTGATACTGTTTAACTTTTGCATGAAAAGATTTTATGGGAATTGCGCTGCCGAAGTTGAATTGTTTTGAATGATTTTTGCTCTGTGTTTTGACGAGGTCTGTATAAATTGAATGTATTTTTTGTTTTTTTTTTTTTGGCATTTAAGCTACATTGTGCCATTTTATTTATTCTTTTTCAATGGGGGATACTGGAATCCATTGCTGATATCATTAATTTGCTTCACTTGCATGCCTGAATTGGAAACTATAACACATGGCTGGCTTGAAGGATCAATCAAGAGCTAAAATACTACTTTGGGAATATTTTTTCTTTTAATTTTTGTTGTATGTTCTTTAATGTTGAAAGTAGTCCTAATGTATGCTCATCATTGTTGATGCCATACGATACAAGTCTTCTGTTTGGGAGATGAACTTGTGGAAAAGTATTAGTAAAACATAAAGGTCATACATGTTCAAGCTGATTTGGGATCTATCTCTTTCTGTACATGCCAGAAACATTGGATGAACTCTAAATATTATTCTTTTACAATGAGTATCTTGTGGGTTGAGCAGATTGAAAAATGTTTCTTACTTGCTACTATAGGTTCCTTTTTCCTCCTCTCTTATTGATTTATGGTTAAAGGAGTTGTAGGGCTTTTTATTTATTTATTTTTGAATCTGTTAAAACATTCCTCAATTGCTTTCCATAATGGAACTGTCATAACAAATACTTCATACCTTAGCCAAACGAATCCATGTGGAGAAAGAAAGAGGACAAGAAACCTCTAATCATATATTTCACAAGCTCATGGGATTTTCCCTTAGTTCTGCATTTGTGTCACACCATTTCATCATAAGTTGCGAAGATTTTGGTTTAGTCCCTCGATCTTATTCAATATTTATTTAAAATTTTTCTCTTATTAATTGGCCCAATGAAAAATGCCAATGGCCTTTTCTCTTAATATTTCAGTTGCAGATCTTGATGTATTCTCTTTTATTGAAGGCACTCTCTCTGATTATTTGCAGTTGATACGTAAGCTCTCAACTCTCTCTTTGTCAGAGTAACATCCTGAGAGCCGATGCTAGTTAAAAAATGCAGCTATATCATCATCCATTTTCTTTAGACAGCCAAAAGGTAAGACTTGCTTTAGAAGAGAAAGGCATTGATTACACATCATTCCATGTCAATCCTATAACCGGCAAGAATATGGACTCTTCCTTCTTTAGGATGAACCCGTGTGCTAAACTCCCGGTGTTTAAGAATGGCTCTCACATCATTTTCGACACCATTGAGATAATCCAGTAAGTCTAGCCTCCATTTTATATTGGTAGATGCATATGGAAGCAATTTCTAACAAAAATGATACATGATATCCCTTTAGAATGATTTTTGGATTTTACTAAAGTTTCTTAACTAGATAAAGCCATAACAAGTTCACAGACCACTTCCTTGTTTTACTTCTCTTTCAGCCTTAAAAACTTGTGGTTTTTTCAAGACTCTTATGAGCAAGAATTTCACTTACTCTGTTAGACTTGATTTGTTCTTATATTAGTTATAATTGGTAAAATGGTTTAGAGCGTATAATCTAATTTTTGAAATTGTTTTCCATAGATAGCTTTATTAGAGATGAGGAGATTTCAAAGTGATATAGAAATTTGCAGGTATATAGAAAGGATAGCAGTTGTCTCTTCGGGTGCTGTCAATGCTAATGACCTGTCCTCTGGTAGCAGAGAAGTGGTTGAGTGGATGCATAAGATACAAGATTGGGACCCCAAATATTTCACACTTTCCCATATCCCTGAGAAATATCGCTGCTATGTATCCAGATTCCTTAGGAGGGTTGTGATTGCTCGGATGGCTGAATCACCTGATCTTGCAAGTGCTTACCATCGGAAGCTTAAAGAAGCATATGATACCGATGACAAGTTGAAAAATCCAGATGTTGTGAAATGGAGCAAAGATCATCTCGTTAGACTTCTTGATGAAGTGGAAACAAAGCTGAATGAAGCATCATATTTAACCGGTGAGGAGTTTACCATGGCAGATGTTATGCTTATTCCAGTACTGGAGCGTTTGGTGCTCCTGGATTTAGAAGATGAGTACATAAGTTGTCGGCCAAACATTGCTGAGTACTGGAGTATAGTGCAGCAGAGGCCTAGCTTTAAGAAGGTAATTGGGAAGTATTTCAAAGGCTGGAGAAAGCACAAAACACTAATGAAAACATGGTGCTCTGTTCGAATCAGAAGCGCACTGAGGAGATATTGATGAAAACAGGTAAATGTTATTGAATTTTATGCTGTAAATTAGAGATGTTGAGAAGTGTGAGGAAAAAGAAAAATCAATTGTATGTAATTTTTCTTTACAAATTTTCCCTCTTTAGCTTTCTGTTCTCTTGTTATGGTGGTTTCTTGGTGGGAAGTTTTATTTGGAGTGGATCTTCAAAATTTGACTCATGTAAAGCTTAGCTTTTTAAGCATGCGTATAATATATAGTTTGATTCTCAGCTTTGTAATTTAATTTGATCAAATGCTTTCATATTCTATCAACAAGAGTGCGAATTTGCTTTTGTAGTAATGGTGTAACGGGACATAATCCAACAGATCTTGGCAGACCGGAAACATATTCGAAATGGTTGCCACTTAAGATATCTGAATAATACATCAAATCTAATCATTTTCCAGAAAATTAGGAAAAATGTGTAAAGAAATAGTACGTGAGCAACGCAAATGTTTATAACAAGAAAAATTCTATGTTACGTTCCTGCAGTTGGAGTTGGAGCCATATGGCTGGTGCTTGACAAATTTGTATGGAATATACATGGTATACAATTTATTTCTGGTTGAAAGCACAGTCAATTTACTATTGTAACGTTAGTGAACTGCAAAATTGAAGCTCCCGCAATACATAACAAGAATGTCAAAAAACCAAATTTTCGTCTAGTCGTCTCAAAGAAGTAGAAGCAGAATATAAATAAGGGTGAAGAAGGAGCAGAATATAAATAAGTAAAGGATGTGTCTGCCCACAGCCAATCATCATTCTTCCAACTATCTATATGATGTGCTGCCATGTATCTTGTTTAAATAAACACAATTGTGAGATGCTTCAACGTTATGAAAAGTAAAAACTTGAATTCTTGTGAAAATTACTCAAACAAGGCAACTTCAATCCACCGAATTCCTCACTAGCAAACAGGTCAACTGAATGCGCAAGGAATTATTTCTAGTTTCTGGAAAAAAAAAATTAGATAACCAAGTTCCGAAGATTAATGCTACGCCCACAACCTAGTGTCACGTTAACTCCATCACACCCAATGTACAAAATGATTTTGATTAGACCAAAGAAACGCTATTCCTGCATAGGAAACGGCCGTTCCTTATGAAGGAATGTTCGTTCCTTATGGAAGAAATGACCGTTCCTTATCAATGAACAGTCATTCCTTATGAGAAAAATTGCATGAAGGAACAATCATTCCTTCATAAGGAACAACCGTTATTTATTTAAGAACGGCCGTTCGTTTCTCGCAGTGTCTTGAGCGTCTTAGGTGTGGTGAAAACCGACGTGACAATACCAATTTGCTGACATCTTAAGCTTGTAAGAAGAGGTTATGAGATTAAGTTGTAAACGTAACATTTTTCAATTCCGAATTGCAGGATAAGTACTATACTATAACAGATCAATTTCTTTTATTTTAAGCATATTTCTATGGCAGAAATGAACAAATATGAATCTTTCATTCTACTAGTCAAAAAATTCATAGCATTTTGATTTCTATATGATAAAACAATACATAAACCATAAACAAGAATGCCTACCTCTATGAGGGTGTACAAATGGGTTGATATCCATCGCAAAATTGGAGCATCATTTCTCTCAGCTGTAATGTTATAACTTGGACTGGAATTCTGAAATTGAATAAAACTTTCATAGAAAAATGGAACCCACAAGTGAAAGAATTGAGAGTACATTAATGTGTGAATGAAAAATCCAGTTGTCTTTATAGAGTAGTTCCTATAAATCAATTCAATGATGATTTTGTTGGGATGGACGCTGATAAAAATTACTGCTTGGTTTATCCACTCTACTATCCTGTGAACAATAAGAACGCTCATTTCTTCTCCAAAGCCATGGGGGTCCCATCCTTTTCTGTTGCCTGAAGTACCTTCTTCCCAAATCAATTGAGGATCCCCTCATTCGTTTACATGTTTGTTGGATATCTGCTTCTGATTGGTTAGCTCCTGTTGTGCTTGGATTGTCTTCCTCAGGAGGGTAAGTGGGTAAACGGTGACTATCTTGTTGCAATTCTTCTACAGATTCATTAACAGTTTTACAGCTATCAGCACAACCAGGTGGAGGACCTCTCTTGTCACGAGGAACTGGGGGTAAAGGTGGAAAAGGATGGAAAGGCATGCCTGGAGCAATTACCCAGTTATCTAGAGTTTCAGCTTGGGGTGACCCAAACTGCTGCAAAATATGTAATGGAATCCCATATGAAACAGGCAAGCGGGAAATGAATTTCTGCTGAGGATGCCCAATAGCCACATCACATAAACATTTTCGATGTAGAACATTTTGCTGAGGAAGATCAGTAGTTGATGAGGCGTCCGATGAAATGGGAGGTGGGTTAAAGGGAGATGAAAACCCTGGTGGTACATCTTCTTGGGTAGTCTGCCCTCCATCTTCAGAGCTAACTGCTTCATCTCGGTTATAGTAATTGTGGACACAGTCAGGGCAATTGCTGTCCTCTCTGCTCAGCTTATCTGCATGATTGGGCATTAGCTGACTTCTAATGGTGAATGGGCTAGATTTTTCACACTGCTGTTGTAATGTAGATTCACGCTTCTGTTCCTTATGTGTAACAGATCTTGAATCTAGGTCTGGTTCCGCTGGCTGATCCCATCGGCTTTTACGTTTGCGAGTTGTGCCAGTTGTCTGACGAACACCTGTACAAGGTGCAGAACCCATCTTATTGGCTGTACTATCCACTGAAGTGATTGTGAACGACTGCATGGCACAATCAATTGCTTCTGAAGGTCTTGAACCTTGATCATGCCTTTGATTGTGAGAAGCTGAGAGCCTATTGCAGTTTACACCCCTGTGAAAATCCATCCTGTCATCATCCCTGTCCATGTAGCTAGATTTTCTGAAAGGTTTAGGAATCCATTTATCTCGAAAATTACGTGCAATTTGATGAACCTGTTAGTGCACAAAGGACCAATCAAAATGAAATCATCACTACGAAAACTGAATTTTTTCTTTTTAATGTATGTGTCGATAAAATATTATTTGCAGCAGATGACTAACATTAAAAATCCATTTAAGATAGCTTGAAACAAACCTGCTTGTCATCATGCTCAGTGAATGACAGTATAGACTCCCTAAAGCTGCAAAAGAAAGCACAGCTCTCAGGAATATGTAACAAATACTTTATATTGATCAGCAGCATTGGCAACTTGCTTTGCTAGTTCCTATATACTATAGATTATTACTACATCCATGTAAGTTCTGAATTATGTTTCGAACTAATTCCAGAACTTCATGTATATAATTTTTTTGAAGTTAACATTCCAAAGTAATATCCAGTCAATCATTAAGAGGATTTAAGTAATTCCTTCTCTGAAAAACAGAAAGCTTTTAATTCCATTGATTGTGCCTTATCGAAATTTGAGTACACTTTAAGTTGAGTCCATTCCCATCATAAATACCAAACAAGATTCGAAAGGAAAGAGTCCCTATTTTATTTGGAAAAAGAGAATTAACACAATATCAGAAAAATTCAAAGGAATAGAGAAAACAGATATATTTTTCTAACCTCTCCATTCCAGCACAAGGAGGACCACCAATTATATGATCCCGTGAAAGTATCTCCCTCACTGCTAAATATTCTAAAACCTGCACACATGGTCAGTTAGCCGAATGCTGATGATTTTAATGCAATCAGATTTCTGAAAAAGGGTTCTAATTTCATCAAATTCCAGAAGACTATATGCAAGTATTTAAGCCATTCATGAAGGTTCCAGGTGCAATTTAATGTTTCATAAAATATGAAAAAGACCCTCCTAGTGACCCAAAATAACCATATTTCAAAATTTGGCTTGCTTTACCGAACCAAGTCCATTACTATCACTAACAGAAATAAGATTTAGCTTCAGATTAAGCTCTTGGCTCTGACCAGAGAACTACTATTTCTGGAATATTTATTTTTCATCCTTCAATCTTCTAAGTGTAGATGGAATGTTCACCAGACTATGCCTGCACTCATATAAACTTTATGTAATAAAATGTCTTCATGTCAATGTGATAATTGTCTCAAATTAATTTTTTATATCTACAAAACAAAAATGATACGTGCTATGATAAATTCTGAGTTAAGTTTATATGTGCAACGAAATCCAACTCCTAAAAGATAATCTTCACTCCTACATAGCCTTCTTTTACAAATTCTTTTTTATCATTTATTTATACAAATTCTTTCTGGTAAGTTATTACTAGAAAACTCTTTTTACACTTGCACAACTAAACAACCAACTTTTCTTACCTAAGAGCCCCATTTTAATAAAACTCTATTTCCACAAGCTTTACCAAATGGACCCAAGTATCTTTTTCATATCTCGAGTACTACATTGAATCTATGACACATAACACAATACTAAACCTATAGAGGGTAAAGACAATGCTTGATAGTTGATATCTTAAAGAAACTTTATGCTATGAAATATTAAAACAATCATGTACAATTACGTTAACAGACGGGAAAAATCATGTTCAATTAAGTCAAAGGTCGGTTCTCAGCAAGCAGACCTTCAGAAGCTTCCGGAGAATTGGAATCTTTTTAAAGTTCCTTCTATACTGCTTCATCATGTTGTGAAGCATCTGTAAACCTGAAAATCAGAACAATTATCAGTCTGGTTAGCAATCTGAAATCCAACAAAAATTACTTTATTCCACAACACATGGTAAATAAAATTGAGTGCATGCAACACAAAAGCAAGAAAACACTACCATTTTTGTTGATTATATCTAACAACACCACTCGCGATTTTGTTTTCAAAAGTGCATCAAGAATCATTGATAAATCTCGATTACTGCAAAACAAATAAACTAAAATCAAACAAAGGAAAGAAAAACAAAAAGAAAAGAGACAATAGTGGAACTGAGACCTCCTTTATGGAAAAAGTTCTATATAGCATAATGAGACATCTAAAATAATATATAAGATGAAGAAAACTCTTAAATGACCTCTGAATTGCTTCACCATTGACACTATCACCAGAGGCAGCAGTCAGTAGCAGAAGCTTCAAATATCCTTTAGGAGCATCCTGTTAGAATAAACACACAAGAAAATTAGGAAAAAAAAAAGAAAAAAGAAATAGGGAGAATCATGTTTCAGGCACAAGAAGAAACAGCAATCTTCAGTAATCTTTTGACATATATTTGAAAATGGATGTTTAGTATTGTGTTTGACTTTTTTATATGTCAAAAAGCAGCATTCAGTGATCTTTATGAGTTATCAGTGTTTTAAAATTTCAAAATTTATGATGATTTATCAGTGAGTTATTAGTGGAGCCTAAAAGGAATAAAAGCAACAAAGTGAGACACATTTAATGACCAAACCGCAGAAACCACTGAGGTTTCTTCTGCTCTTTTAAAGAGACACTATTAAAGCTGCATCAACAGCATTCCGCTAATCAAACAGAAAGAAATCAAATTCAAACAGCCAAATAGGATAATGCAAAATTTACTCACTTTTCGTTTACTTATGCCCCCTTCAACATCCAGCAACTCATTCAATTTCTCCTGAACTGCAGCATTGAAAAGCGTTTATTATTAAAATTATCACCCAGAGCAAGAACATTTTATGTCAAGACAAGTAAAAACAAGGTCCCTGACCTGCTTCAAAACGGCCATTAGAAGAACCTTCCACTATTCTTTTGGGTTTGATAGACAGAAGCTGAGATTTGTTGGCTGCCATCTTAACTTTATTTCCGTTTAGATGACTGCTACTAACCTTCCCTTTCTTAACGGAGCCAGATGAACGTGAAGTTTTTATACGAGGGCGAGATTTTGGCAACCCTTGCTTGTCATCAACTATATCAGACTTGTCCTTCCTATTAGCATCACTGCCACCAAGAAGCAATTTTTCAGACAGCAAAGTTGAAGAAGTGGTCCCCACTTGTTGGATGAAAGATGAAGCATTGTTTTTAATTTCTTCTTCCATGGAAATCTCTTGACAAACAGTGGATACTGATATACGAGTTACATCTTCTGCTTGTACAGAAATTTCTGGCTGAGCTGAAGGATAGTTTCCTTTCGATTCCTGCACTTCCAATGAACTGTGCACTTGGGAAATGGCAGAAGCAGATAGGTTCTCAACTTCTATGGAAATCTCCGATTGTTGAACAGCTCTGGTGGTATCATCCATTTTATCTTTATTTTTTAGAGGATACTGAGTCCTGTCACCATAAAAGGAACTGGTTCTGGATATAGCACTTTCCAAATCATCTCCATCTTCAAGCATCAAAGGTTCAGGATATTCCTCATCTGAATCACCTTGATAAATTACTTCAGTATTTAGTGGATCCCCACCTATATAACCCCGACATTGAGGAGAACCACAATAACATTTTTTGGCAGCAGCCCCAAACACTCTCACATAGTTGTAGTCAAATGTCAGCTCTTCCTCCTGAAAAAAACATTGAGCTTAGATGACAAAAGTGATAAACATTGAAGCATACAAGAAAATAGCTTAGATGAGATAAGTTAAGTGTAAGCAATGTTTTGAGAGAATTAAGTGTTGATACAGATGTATGTGTCCACACGTCAGGCCACCAGGCCAGCTGAACATGCAGTATATTATTTTATTGCAAAAACAAAATGGCGGTCTTATCAAAAACAAAATCTAGTTGGCCAAGGTAAGAGTAGCATTGGGTTTAAATATGAGATTTGCCACAACAAAGCTGGGATGGAGGTAAGTGACAGACTTAGAAGCATAAAATGGAGCAGGGAATGAGGGTTTTATTCTGTCAGGATGGGGTATCTTTGGTGAAATCAGTCCCATTGCATATCCAAGTTTTTAAGATCACCAAGTCCAATATTGACTGAAACTAAATTTCTTTAATTTCTAATTTAGTCTTGGTAGCCAGTCTCTTGAAAGAACCGTCCTACTAAAACAAAATAATCAAACACTATAAAGAAGAACTGGGGTTCTCTATACTCTACATGCAACAGCAAACTAAATCTCTAAATAATTGATTCCACAAATGATAAGCTGTTAGGATCCCACATTGAGAGGGAAAATGGGTGGGCATGTGGTTATAAGGGTTTAGACATCCTCCCTTTGCAAGCCGGTTTTCCAAGAAGAGTTCTACTCAAGTCCACCAAAGGATCATTGCCTAGCCCAATTCTTATCAAAGGCTCACTGCCCAGCCCAATTCTTATTAATTTGGGAGTGGGTTCCTATCAAAAGCACATTAAAGGTTTTACAGTTAGCTGCAAAATTAAAATTTTTGAAGAATGCAGTGGTTTAATCGAATCAGGGAAAACAATTTCAGTCAGACCATGCTATATTTCATACATGAAGACAACTAGTTCATTTAAGCCCTTCTCTTTCAGACATTGGCTGGAAGTAAGTATAGTGATACTGAACTTTCAAGCCAATTCCGAAAACAATAAATAAATAAATATAAAAAGCACAACAATAGGCATATATAGTTGAGTGCAAGAACAAAACAACCCCAGCAAGTGAGTACAAAAATAGTGATCAATGACTCCAACTGGGGTAGACACAGAATTAATTGATGGCAGAAGCAAGCATACCTCCTTAATATCCCTTAATGCAAAAAGTCCAATACAAATTTCTCCATTCACCATCCACTGCTCCAAAAAAAGAAGAAATAAAAGTGAACATTGTGAGCATTAAAGTCGGGCAACTAGTATATATATAATAAATCAAGGTCAAAATGAATATCTCAACAAAATACGGTGCCATAATAACATGCCAACAAGAGTAAAACAGAAAGTACACGAATCAAATAACTTGGTTAACTGCAACATTTAGCTCACTCTCAAAAACTAGTTATAATTAGTAGTTAACATTAAAAAAAATGCAACAATGTATTAAGAAGTGAAATCACTAACATAACAATCCATTGAGATCAAAGAAGCATAAAAGATCTTCAACAAAAACCTGGAGACTATAGTACTTTATTGTTTGTTTCATCTCTATAATCCTCTCCATTGTCTTCATCATCAACATTGTTAAAACCAAAATTACAGTCCAAACCATAAAACATCCAACTATCTATTTCCCCAAAATAGAACCCCTATGGTTGAAGGGCTCCTCTATGAGAACAAGAGAGGAGATACAAAGAAAGAAGCAAGGATTGACAAAAAGAATACAGAACAGCAAAAAGAACCTTCTCAAAAAAATTCCTTGGAAAATTACATGAAAAGATAAAGCAGTTCCGCATGCAAGAGAATACGGGTCTAGACTATTTCATACAAATTATTATAAGAAAAAGTAAAGTAAAAATCTAATTTGAATTTACAAATTTGTATAAAATGCTCATATGGATGATCACCTTTTCAGTACGGCAGTTAGGATTGCAACTATGGTTAATGAAACGGCCTATATTACCCTTAACACATGCATCTATTACCTGCAAGAATGCAAAATATGATTAAGAAATTATAATGAAGCTATAACGGCAAGAGTATCAGAGAACTAAAAGACAAATAAAGTACAAACTAACATAAGCAACATCCTTCTAAAACTTTTGGCTATAATATTAGCAGAATATGCAGATTCAAGTTAGAATTTCAATACTTTATTGGCTCCTCTTTATAAGCTTAAACATCTGATATAAATCGTTATTCAACATGGTTCTTATTTGAAAAAACTGGTCAGTTTGTACAATGTATTAAAGCCTTTTTGAGTGAGAGTTCATCTGTTCAAATCCTGAAAACCCCATTCTATTAATTAGATTACAACAGAGCCATATAGGCCTGTGTTTATTTTCATTTTATAGTTGATTATGTTCAGCCACGCAATAAGGGAAGAAAATATGCCCTATTGGTGAGTCATCCTAAGCTTAATATCTTGGGATAATGGCTATTCAATATTGCATGAACATAGGCCTACTTGGAGGCAATCAAGAACCTGTTAAAAAACCAGCAATATGTACTTAACCATACAGCCAATATGTTGGAGGTAATCACAAGAAGCACTTGAAAAGGAAAATTTATTCAAGTGAACCTTTTATCTTTCTTTTGAAGAAAGGGAATTTGCAAAAAGTAATCAGAAGTTAAAAAAAAATTAAAAACAATTTATATACCCAATATCATGGATTATCATTTGTCATAAGTTGGTGAGGAGGGTCAATAAATAGCAACACATCAACACTTGAAGTCAGTTTATGTAATGAAGGATATCCTAACCTCACTGCCATTTAATGTCATGAAGTAGAAATGCTTATGACCAAGAGCTGCATACTCCTTTTGTCGAGCCTCATAAGTTTGNCAGTTTGTACAATGTATTAAAGCCTTTTTGAGTGAGAGTTCATCTGTTCAAATCCTGAAAACCCCATTCTATTAATTAGATTACAACAGAGTCATATAGGCCTGTGTTTGTTTTCATTTTATAGTTGATTATGTTCAGCCACGCAATAAGGGAAGAAAATATGCCCTATTGGTGAGTCATCCTAAGCTTAATATCTTGGGATAATGGCTATTCAATATTGCATGAACATAGGCCTACTTGGAGGCAATCAAGAACCTGTTAAAAAACCAGCAATATGTACTTACACATACAGCCAATATGTTGGAGGTAATCACAAGAAGCACTTGAAAAGGAAAATTTATTCAAGTGAACCTTTTATCTTTCTTGTGAAGAAAGGGAATTTGCAAAAAGTAATCAGAAGTTAAAAAAAAATTAAAAACAATTTATATACCCAATATCATGGATTATCATTTGTCATAAGTTGGTGAGGAGGGTCAATAAATAGCAACACATCAACACTTGAAGTCAGTTTATGTAATGAAGGATATCCTAACCTCACTGCCATTTAATGTCATGAAGTAGAAATGCTTATGACCAAGAGCTGCATACTCCTTTTGTCGAGCCTCATAAGTTTGCATGTCAAGCACCTGATTGGAACATATAATGGAACAAATATGTACAGATAATATATAGAGACAGAGACAGAGATAGAGACAGAAAAAGAGAGAGGGACAATCAAGATTGTATAACGCAAAGGGCAAAACTTTGAAGTATAATAGCACATCATAACTTATGGAGAAAAGCATGTTTTTAGGCCATCCCAGAAGAAAAAAAAAAAAAATGGGAAAATTGAATCTACTTATCCATGAAGTAGATCAACTGAATTCAACTTATATGGTCTGCCCAGAAATGTGAAATCATGAATGCTATATTAACAGAAACCCAATCCAAGTAATATGACATGCAATCCAAAAACGGGTAATTATTCTTTTTTTACCAAGCGCATTTGTTCCAAGTAACAATTTGAGATGTCAAATGGAAGTTAAAATAAACTAAAATCACTCTAATAACTGCTTCTACACCATGTCTTACTGGATCCTGCTTGAAACATATGAATGTATATGCATATAATAACTTGTGTTTGTGTATGTGTGCACACGTGCACCACAGCTTAATTAAGGTTTACTTAAAAAGTGGCAAAAATTTAGCAAACATGATCTTATACATGGAAGTAAGCACAAGGAATGCATCCTTGCTTTAACTCAAAGGAAGTTAAACTTTGGAAAAGAACATTCACCTCTCCAACATATTCAATAATAAATTGCCCTTTGGTTACATCCTCACGTAACAGCAGCCCATGACCCTTTTTTCCACAACGACTCCAGTGCATGTCAGCATACTTGCGTTTCTGGAACTGCAAAGAGACATTTGGACTAAACAAATATTCTTCACATTCAAACAACAACTGTCCAAAGAACCAAATGAGATAAATATCTGCAAACAGAAGCTGAAGTACCTGCTGATTTGAACATAGGTCACCACAAGGACAGGTGCCTTGAACACATTCAATGTTAAGCATCCGATTCAGGCATTCATCTCCACAGCCCAACCGGCCATCTAGAGGTGGTTTGCAATGGCAAACCATTATCTGATTACATTTTAGGAACAATCTAATCAGGAAAACGTTGACTAATCTTAACAACAAGAAATTTCATCAGTGTACAACTAATAACAATATAAAAAGCAAATGGAAAATAATAAAAAAAAATGTGAAAAGTTGTGAAAATTAAATGCTAACTTCTTCTCTGTGTCATCACCAAATATCACTGTGCCAGAAAGGGAAAAAGGGAGAAACAGAGAGTGAATCAACAGAAACTGTAAATATGAAGAGCTCTAACAAAATAATCTAAATACATTATTTTGTTAATCACCCCCAACCCTATAAAATACTGTACCATTATTAAAATTGAATTCCTAAAAAAGGGTTGTCCCCTAATACCTAAAGCAAATCTGATCATCTACTTCAAAAATTTTATCACACAAGTAAAAACCATAAAAACCATCAAAGAAAGCAAATGGATTAGAAATCATAATATTTAATACATTAAGGGGTGATTAAAAAAAAAAAAGCAACGAATGTGCAAAGCAATATTGAACAGTTTCCCGCATTAACAAGAAAACAGAACCCTCATAGCATAACAGCTGAATCTTCAGAGGAAAAACAGATAAAGGCATGGGAAGTACATGCTTATAAGTACACACATCTAGACAAAATTACAAAGGATAATATTAACTATATAAAATTTCACCTCTAAACTGGTAATTTCCAGCATATTCATAGGAACTGGATGGTGGCCCCATGTCAATTCTTAGTGCAAAAATGTGTTCTTTGCATCTTGGTTTATTAAAAGCTTTCCCATTTTTGGATATCCCATTGTAGTAGTCCACTGAGAAGTCAATTACATAATTTATAACACGCTAAATTACCATCATCCAATGAGTATGCACAAAATGATGTTGACAGGGATCATTATGGAAAGCAGAAACAAGTAGAATGAGAATGAAATTAAGGCATCCCCTAAAAGTACTATGTTAAAAAAGAACTAAAATTTAGATGGAAGAGTATTTGTTCTTTGACTTCAACACAGCCAGCTATATAAACAAATTAACAATGTTGAGGAATTAGGCATGATATATGAAACATGCTAGGTACAGAACTTTAGGTGCACTTGTGCCACTTAAATAGTCACAGCACTTTTACAATTATAGATAAAATAAGAAATCCAACTCTTTACAAATCTACAATAACAAAAAGAGAATGCAGCAAAAGTAAATAGCCATAAAAAAAAAAAAAAAAAAAAAAAAATGAAAATCAGAATGAATCATATTCAAACCTCATCGATTGTTTGGGTTTTACGGCTACGGTGAAGAAACACATTAGAATTAATACGCCAAAAAGTTGGATCAGGTATAGCTGCAATGCATCAAACCACCCAAAAAGGGTCAGAACTGGAGAACGAAAATGTCCAAAAAAAAAAATGATAAGAACTTCAAACCCTAGGCCCATTCATGTTTCAAGAAAGATTAAACAGCATCTTACTATAATACCATCAATAGAAAGCATCACATACCTGCAGTACTCAGACAATCCATTGATCCATCGTCATTTAAAAAACCATCATCTTCTTCAAAATCAGATAGACCTAACTCCGCATTAATATCTTCATTTGACTTCTCTTGAGGTGTTGAACAATCAGCAAAGATTTCATCTGTGTTGTCCTTGCAGACCCTTCAACAATTAAAATTCAAAACAAAACCAATTGAGGATATTAAATTACAATTTGAAGAAAGAAAAAAAAAAGGTAAAAAGAGGCACAATCAGAGAGGGTATTCAGAAATGCCTTCACAAGACAGAAGCTAAAAACATAGTAAAAGAGATGTGGTTTCCATGTTACTAAACTAATTTCAAAGAGAGCTACAATGAAAACCTAGAAATCAACCAAGAGAAGGACATCCAAGTCAATACTAGATAATCCTCATTTAATTGGATTTCAACATGCACCTGAGATGAGAATTTGTCTTTGAGAACTAAACAACTCAATCCTAAAACTATCCTATTCTTCCTACATTAAGTATCCTACTCAATTCAAACCCAATTAGACAGAATAGGTGGCAAAAAAAAAAAAAAAAACGAGAGGGGTTGGGGTACAATATTTCAGTATTTACAAGTTCAATTGAAAGCCGACTAAACTAAATAGGTTAAAAGCATATGCTTAGAAGAAATATTCTGCAGTGGTCCCATAAAGAGCATATCTAGAATATGAAAAAAGAACTACGATAATATACCATCTGCAGTTGTTTATTGAGCTTGCAAGTTTAACTGGAATACGCCGCCATTTGTAGCATTCATCACACCTCACCCAAGCACCTTCCGGAGGTGAACACTTCTCAGTTACACCAGCTGATACCAGGCCCATCTTAGCTACATCATCAGATACACTAATGTTGCCAGATTCAGTTTTTTCAACATCATCAGCAATGTGGTTTCCTACAGCATCAGTTCAAGTTAAATCAGAAACAAACTCGATCTTGTCTATCAAAGAAACATATATTTAGTAAGAAAAAACAATGAGAACAGCAATATGAAGATATACTAAAACAGATGACATGATGTGGTCCAGACAAAAAAGAAAATTACACACCCCCTAAGTTATATCCCAGAAATCTATCGTTGTATAAACTGGATTCAAAACTGGGAACTATGGTCCCTAGTCCCTACAACCTTGGTAGCTCAGGGATATAACAATACAGGAGGTGTCCCCAAGGGGATAACAACCTTTGGGTTCAGGACTCGTGATTTAGATGTGCAAATACCTATATTTGGTTGATCTTCCATCTTGTCTTCAACCTGATCACAAACAACCTTCTTTCCTCCTTTTTTAATCAAAACACCCTTCTCCTTGACTTTGCTTTTATGAACTGACTTCCGTTGGTTTCCCCCCTGTGTACAAGCATTTTGTCTCCTGCTTTTTGCTGAGCTAGAGACTTTGGACCTTCCCTTTCTCATTCCACCAGATTTTGAACTTTTGGAAAGTGGATATTCCTTAGATTTCATTGAAGGTATCATTGCCTCTTCAATAATTCCAAGTTCGGTCTCTTCTGATGAAGGCAGTGGTTCCACACAGAATTCCACAGTGCTTGATGAGTTGCTTGAAGCATTTGCACCAGGGAATGTAGAGAGAGTCTCACTAGAGTGTATATCATCACCCTTTTTCTGTCTGCCTCCACGTTTCTTTGGTTGTTTAGCTTTCTTTTTGCTTGCTGAAACTGTCAAACTACCTTCCTGAATAGAGTTATCAGCAAGAAGGAGGTTGTCTTTCTTCTTCCCTCTCTTACTGCTGGTACTAGCAAAAGATGTGGAAGAAGTCAAAACAGTTTTATCCAAGCCTTCTTGACCTTTACCACCAACTTGGGCCTCAGGAATTACATCAATAACTTCTGAATCTGGTGAAGTTCCAGGATTTACATAATTGTTCTCGGTCGTTCCTTCCAATCCCTCAGCCCCTTTATGGGCAGGAATCCCAAGAAGATCATCTGCAACATCTGCTGCAGCCTCATCCAAAATCTCAGTGCCCTCCAACTCCTTATTTGCAAGGTGAATATCCACAACAGAATCATCTGAGTATTTTTCTGTCTCCTCTGGATTCTTGTTGAAACACTGAAACTGTCTATCAGTCCCTTCTTCCCCTGATTTATCTTCAACAACATGTGCAAATTGTGGAAATTCTGAGGTCCTGTGATCACCAACAATATCATCACAAGATGCTATGGTGTCAACCATCTCCGGAACCATAACATCCAGACTACTTCGACAAACTTCATTCCCTACTTTAACCTTCAGACGGAGGCATTTACTTGAAACATGATCTTTTTTGCTAGACCCCAATGAGCTTCCACTGGCCCGAACCTTATTCCGCTTTCGATTTCCTTTGCCACCTTTTGCTTTCTGTGATCCATGATTCTGAATTTGACATAACCTACTCACATCACTCTTACTGAAAATTTGAGTAATGTTGCCCAATAATCCCCAGATAGAAGAACGAGCTGATTTGGAGAAAGAGCTCCTCTTCCTTCTGGCAACCTTGAAGATAATATCAACGCTTCTGTTTGGGATTTGCACTTGAGCGGCATTCCTGCTATTCTTTGCAACCCTTTTTGACTGAGTCTTCTGATTTGATTTACTTATTCGACTGCTCCTTCTAGAATATGATGATATAATGTCAGGATATTTAGTTTTGGAGAAACAATTAACCCTAGTATTATCTTTTCCTTCATGATCTGTCTGTCCAGAACAATCAACTGCACTGTTAGATACAATAGCAATTGCAGGATCTTTCTGAAAGAGATCTGTCACTTCCACCCTATTACAAGAGCCAATCGCATCAACACCAGTAGGCAAGCATGACTGCACTGAAACCAGTTTGTCAACAAAATAGTTGGGCACCATTCCGGAGGAATGTTCCTTTAAACTTTCATCAACAGGCAATCCTTGAGTGCAAATTTCATCCTTTACACCAGTTGTGACATCACTTTTCTCCTCCACAACCTCTGGAACCCTCTCTGCAGAGGGACAATCAGTAATCCTATCATCGCTTAGCTCATTCTGCTGAGTGCAATTACTCAGTGAATCAGCTAAAAGTAAATTTTCTAAGGAACCCTGATAGCTATGTGCAGGCAAAGCTATGATGGATGTGTTAGTGTTGCTTTTTGTTTCAGTAGCTATCTCAATTGTTTCCTCATCACAATGACTGAAAATATCATGATCCTTCCGATCATTATGTCCTTCACCACTTCTCAACGAATCATCATTGCACGAAGATTTCAATGGAATTTCATCAGCTTTCGCTTCTACAACAGGATCCCTGATGCATTCTGTTTGCTTCAGCTGATTTTGTTGGGAAGAATTATTTGACACGCCAGTTGAATATACTAAATCTGTGGGCAATTCATTGTACTGGGAAGATGATTCTGGTTGATTGTAATCAGTCTCTATCCCATCTGAAGAGTCTCTTTTCTCTATTGTAACTCCTTTCATAGAAACAGTCACTTCCGTTGATTCTAAGTGAATTTCACAGTCGTGTAAAGACAACACATGGTCACAAATATCTTTCCCTGTTCCAGTGAAAGAATCATTTTTTGCTTCAATAACTTCATTGATTGTGTCATCACCCTTCTGCTCACTCTGGTTTACGCTATTTCCCAATGAACCAGTTCTGGTTGTTAACTCTGAGGGCAGTGCACATCCCTGAGAAGGCAACATTTGGTCACAAGTATTGATTTTCTCTTCCATATACTCTGTAACCCCTTCTAAAGCGGGACAACCAGCTTTTTTATCATTTTGTGGATCTTCCTGGTGAACTGGATTCTTCAGTGAATCGGTCAGGGGCATTAATTCCGTGGGCATTTCACAACATTGTGAAGGCAGCACTTGGTCACATGTATTTTCCTGTATCCTGGCTAAAGCATCTGTTTTCTCTTCCATGACCTCAACCCCTTCTTCTAAAGAGGGACAATCAATGCTCTTATCATCCTTTTGAACACTATTTCTCAGTGAACCAGTCACGAGTGCTGGTTCAGGGTTCCACAAAGTTAATACTCTGCCGCAAATATCTTTCTCAACCACAGCTAAAGCATTATTTTTCTCTTCAATTGCCCTCTCCTCACCAGAGAGACAACCAACAGTCCTATCATCCTTAAACTCATCTTCTAAAACATCCTGTTGATCATGATTTGTCCCTGAAGTATTCCCAAGCATTTCTCGCAAGGGCATTTCACAACCCTCCAGTGATTTCACAATCCCATCCTCGCCTTGGAACCCTCCATTTTCCAAGTGCAATCCATCACTCTCTGCACAACAAACATCTACATGAATTTGACTCTCATTCAAAGAAGCCCCACATACATCATCCACCATTTTCTCCACAACCCAACCAGCCATATTTTCACACTTACTCACCAAATCATCTCTTTTCACAACAACAATTTCTGTAACATTAGCAAAGCTAGCACAAACGTTGTTTTCGTCACAAGACAAAACCAAACACCTATCTGGCAAATTACAAACACCAACGTCATTCAGACTATCATTCAAACAAACCCCACTAACACCACATTCATCATCCACCACTCTCTCCAAACCCACACTAACCACATTTTCACACTCGGGTGCCAACCCAACTCTTTCATCAATACCTGCCTCTAGAACATCAACAGAGCTCACACAAAGAGTTTCATCATCACTAGACAAACCCAGACACTGATCCACCGCCTCAATGCTATTCACATTAGCACCAATCACATCAAAACCAGTCTCCGAGTAACCAAAACTCTTGGAAACCAGCTTTTCCCTAAACTCCACACACGAATCCTTCTCAATATCAGAATCACGCGAGGGTTCATCAACCAATGCTGAATCCTCGCACGACCCCATCTCAGTATTCTTCAACAAACTAACAAACACCCATTATCCTAAACCCAATAAAATTCATCAAAACCGAACTAAAAACGCAACCCAACACAATGCAAGCCCTAATTACCGCCAATCAAAACCCTAACCTCTGTTCCATATATCACCTTCGTTAACCAAAATTCAAAACCGTGAAAAAACCAACGGGTACCTGAACGTTAAGAAGCTTTTTTAAACCCTAAAATCCCATTCTCTGCAAAAGCCAAAAAAAAAAAAAAAACCAATATCATTATTTGCAACCCAATGCAGTGCCACGTAAACAACACACATACACAGACACACAACACTACCCACAAAAACAAAATTAAAAATAAATTAAACAGATGAATTATTATCGAAAACAAAAAGAACATACCTGTTTAGAGAAGACATATCAGGCCGTTGAAGAAAGAACGAAAGGAATACTCGTTAATTTTCCCTTTTTGATCATATATTTTTATTATTTTATGAACAGTTGATTTATTTAATTTTTTTAAATTATTTTATTTTCATAAAGCGAGAGAAAGGAAAGAGAGAAGAAAGGAATTGCTTAGAAGTGTTGCTAATAAAAGGTTCGTTCGAGGCTCCGACCGAGCGCGAGAGAGAGAGAGAGAGAAAGTTTTTTCGTCAGCTTTGTGCTAATTAGGTGGGATGGGTACTGGGTTGACCATTGTAGGACACGTGTTGTTAACAAGGGTATTTTGGTTATTGTAATTTCATGTAAGTTTGTAATGCTGGGCCTTAAAGTTAGTGTATGGTTTTCTATGACGATTACAATAAGATTATATGTTATTGCGTGCAGTAAATTTGGGTTTAGTGGAAAATATAAATTAAATATATATATTTTTTTATAAAATGTATTTATTCATATTTTTACTTTATGGCAGATAAAAAAAAAATACTTTTTTTTAATAAATAAAAGGTGGGTGTCTAAGCATTATTATATGTATATGTAATATTTGATTGAAACAAATGATAGATTTAAAATATATGAGGAGCACTCTTTTTTTAGCACGTATTTAAGGGTGCGTTTGGTTTAGTATTTTGGATAGGATTTTAGGGATAGTATTGGGTTATTGGATATGGGAGTATTACGAGGTAAATTTTAAAAATTTATAAAAAAGCCCTTAGGTTTACTAATTTAAATAAAGACCCTAACATGTAAAATGACAAAAACACCCCCACCATCTGCAGTGTCAGATTCCGGCCACCACCGCCGGAATCTGGCCGGAAAATTTTGTTACGGCACAGACTTGTCGGATCTGTGCCGTAACACGTCGTTATGGCCTTTTCCGGCTAGATCCATGGTGGATCTGGCCGGAAAAGGCCAGATCTACGGTTTGTATTGGCCGTCGACTGCCGGAAAAGGCCAAACGACGGCCATCTTTGGCCGTCAGCGACGGCCAAAGATGTGGCCGTCGTTTTCGGTCAACGACGGCCAAGATTTGGCCGTCAGATCTGGCCTTTTCGGCCAGATCCGTGGTGGATCTGGCCGGAAAAGGCCACAGCGGTGAACTTCCGGCCATTTCTGGTCGGAAGTTTGGCCGTTGTACAGATTCTGGCTATCACCGATGGTGGTTGTCAGAATCTGACAAGTTGGGTTGATGGGGGTGTTTTTGTTAATTTTTAAACTTTTTTTAGGGGGTATTTAGTGAAATTAATAACCTTATGGGGTTAAAATGTAATTAAAAAAATAGAGTAATATTTTGAGAATATTGTACCAAACGCTATTTGAAAAATAGGATCCAGAATAGGGATAAAAATATTAAACCAAACGCATACTAAATATTTTTGAAAATTACGTTAAAGTATTGGGTTGTCATGTCACGTCATAAAATGCAAACAATAGTTGGAAAGGCTAATGTAAATAATAATATAATAAAATATTTGAAGAATTAAATATAAAAGACTTTTCTCTCTTTCGGTAAAGACCTTTTCCTTTCTTTTCTTTTTTATATTTTCCTCTTTGGATAAAGTTTTGGAAGTTTAAGAATTGATTGTTATCGGTAATTGTTTTATTTAAATATCGTTTTACTCTAAAGAAACCTTTTATCTTCAAATTTGATAATAAAATATCTCGTGACATTCAGTCTTGTAAACCAAGCTTAAATTTGAAGTTTCAACTTTACTATATATATATATTTCGGAAGAAACCAATGTTTTAAAAACAAATAGGGTGAAACCCGACAAGATTGCTGGGTATCGGGTTGACAGGCCGATCAAACTGAGTGTCTAAAAGTTTAACATTTACAAATATACTCCTAAAAATTATGTTAAGCTCCTACAGGTTTAAAATTTAACAAACACACCTCAAATACAAATCGGCAATCGATTGGTTGGCAATTGTGACACATAAAATGCAATCTCAATCATTCTTTGAGTCATTTCTTAGAAAATCTACCAAGATATGGCCAAAATGAAACTGATTTCCGCCAAATCTTACCACCGTCCATGTCGACAACTTAGGCCAGATTTCACCACCATCAGTGTTAATAACCCAGGTTAGATCTCACCACCTCATATACAAATCAGTAGTCGATTAGTTGGCAATGGCGACACATCAAATGCAATCTCAATCATCTTTTGAGTCATTCCTCAGAAAATCTACCTAAGATATGGCCGAAATGAAATGATTTCGGCCAGATCTTACCACCGTCAATGTCGACAACTTAGGCCATATCTCACCATCGTTGGCGTCAAAAACCCTCCCCATCAGCACGAAAATACCCACCTCAGCCTCATGACCAAAACCCATCTTATCCCACCCCTGTTCGTCTCGCCAATCATAGGCAACAACTAGCTGTTGTCGTCGCGGGTTTTGTTTAATTTTTGGTCGATTCACTTATCAGAAATCATCGCCGTCGCCACCATTACATTAACCGACCCTTCTTATTCAAAACCCCCATCATCCCAGTTTCTAGTTGTTCACCGATCATCATCTCAATCTCTAAGATTTTTTATCAATAAAAAAATTAGTTACCCAGTCCAATGAATGCCCTAGGTCTCAGTTCAACGGGTTTTAAAACATTGGAAGAAACTATCAAACTCAATAATCTTTAGAAAACGAAAACAATAACTTTTGCAGACCGAGTTCAAAAAATGGAACTTCCGTAACCTTATGATCTTTTAAAAGTTATAGTCGAACCCAATAATCTTTGGAGTTGAAACCCTATAATTTTTAGGAAGTGAAAACAATGGCATTGAACATATAATTTCCTATAAATTTGCTTAAACCCAATTAGATTTTGAGGGAACAAACCACATGATTGAGTCCACTATCTGACATATTTTATATATAAATGTTTTATATATCAATCAGGACACAAATAAAATCATCAATGATGTATAGAGTAAATGAGCATATATGAAACTGATTAAGAGATTCCCGAACAAACAGTGAGATTGTCATGAGTCATTAAGGTCAAAAATGGATATGACGATGGTGAGTTATCAGTTAAATCAATTTTATTAAACCAATCATTAAGTAGTTAATCATACTAAATTTGCTATGGTCACCTTGGTGGTTGGTTATATGTTTGTTTCTTTATTGAAACTTAAGTGGCAAATGTTGAGATAGAGGTCAAACCAATAAGGTTTCAAATATTTGACTATAATAAAAATAATTATTTAGTCAGGATTGTCCTAATATAGTTATATCAGGACCATATATATTCACTATTGGATCTTTATATATATATGTATTGTATTCAATGGATCATATTAGTCATAACCTAGTCGACATTCAATGTAAAATAATAAGTATAAATTGCATTTAAATTCAACTTAAAAGTATGATTTCATGCTATAAATGTATGATGTGGTTAACAAATTTATGTAATTTTTATTAATCTTACATGGTAATTGGCATGGGAAGAAAATAGATGAAAAGGGAAAAAGAACAATTAATATTTAATTACATTATGGTAAAAAAAAAAAAATTGAAATTGATCCACTAATAAATACAAAATTTATAACCTTATATATTATATGGTTGGTACATATTGTTATCAATGAATGACACCTCTACCATTTGATACCTCAATAATACAAATATAAAGGATCCATTTTGTTGGCCATGTATGTGGGTAACCTTTTCATTTTTCATTTTTTGTATTTTCGTTTGTATATAAACATTATTTTTGTATTAAAAAATGAACAGAATATTGAGAGGGTTTTGAAAAGATTTGGAAGCAATATCATCTTCTTTAATGGCTTAAGAGATCCTTGGAGTGGTGTGGTGGAGGGTATGAATTTAATCTCCCTCTCTCTCTATTTCTCCATTATTGATATTATATGCTCTCTAATTCAAAATTATTTATGATTTCAGGGTTCTCAAGAATGTTTCCAACACTGTAATTGCCATTGTTGCAGAAGAAGGTTAGTAAATCTTGTCCGTAAAGTAACACAAATAGATAAGTTGAAACATCCTTTAATGTCTCTAATGTTAGAATTACCGGTTCAGGAGCTCACCATGTAGACCTGAGATTTTCAACAAGTGAAGATCCAAAATGGCTTCAGGATGTGAGGAAAACAGAAGCGAACATTATTGCAAATTGGATTTCTCAATACTACCATGACTTGGCCTATCTTTATAAATAAACATAAACCCTCTTTTTTGTTTTGCTTTCATAGAAAGTCAATAATCTGTGCTCATAAGTCATGTCTGCTAAAAAACAATTTGGGTGAGGGCACAAATTGAAGTCTTGACATAAGTGAATCTCAACTAGGTTGAATCATGTGGTTATTTTGGGCCAACAGAGCCTCTTTGTTTGGGCCTTTTTTTGAGGTGCAATGGAAAAGCACGTATGATTGATAAAGATTTGATTGACCCAATTTAAGATTGCCTTGTGTTATTGAATTTATCGATTGAAAATTGTAAGAGATTCCTGCCGCTTAAGTTAAAGGGTGTTTCTTTTACTAGAATTTTGACATGACCTCAAATCATACACAAAAACACTTTGTTCCAAATCTTGGATGGTCAAAGTCCAATCTCATCACCTTCTCTCACAACTCTTAATTCATTAAGTCATAAATGAGTCATTTTTATTCATTTGCCAACTGATAAATTACTAATTGTCACATCGAAAATTATGAGATCGGATTATGGATTATGAGATTGGATTATGAATCTAATATTACTTATTTTGAATGAATTAAAAGTGAACATATATCATAAGGAGGGTGGAGACCATTGCACTTGTCGTAGCTCTCTTAATTTTTCTATATATATATATATGTTTTGAATTAAATGATTGCCAAATAAAAATGTGGTCAACCTTGGATTGAAATTTTGTCCAAAGCAACAATACAAACTGTTAATTAGGGCAGCACACAGAATGAGGTTACCCCATCAACGTAACAAAGAAAGTTTGACTAAAACAAGCATGAAATTATTTTGACAAAACCCAAAGAAAGACGTCTTTGAATGAAGCTTATAACGTTTTAATGTTGGTAAATGAAGAGGCATGAAAGATTCGGTAATAAAGTGTTAGGCTAAGGGGAATATGAATTGTGTTGAAATTAATAATAAATATTAAGTAGAAGCTTTATTTTCAAAGTTAGGCCATGAATGAGAC